CTAGTCTAGATCTCCGGTTCTTTTCAAAGCCTTTGGGGTAGGGCTGTGAGCGAGGGCGTGCGAATTACACACAGGTGTGCGCTGCGAGCTCGCTAGTTCTCCCCAGCTCCACTCTGGATGGAATCTTCAGGGCTGAGGGCCGGTGGCGGCAAGACCTCGTTACATACCAGCTTTGTGGCCTTGAGCCAAGTTGCTTCATTTCTCTCTGATCCTTTATTTGTAAATTAGGGGCAAAAAACCCCCACCTTAGCACTAAACAGCTAGTGAATGACCTGACATATTCGGAGCATCCTAGATCCCGTCTAGCTAGAGGCACTCTTGCCCTGCAAGTGTGGTGGTTGCCACTAACTGAAGGAGGTCAGTGAGCCAAGGTGACTCGGGGTTCCGGGAATGGCCCAGAAAGGGCACCAGGGTTCACAGACCGCCCACAGGGTTGTAAGGGTTTTCTTGGATTCTGGAACAGTTCTTGGGTTAGTTATTTTAATATCACCGCCTGTTTTACCTCTTATCAGTGAGAAGTAAAACCCTACAATCGGAAAGCATGGGGCTGCGCCCCTAGGGGCCTAAGGATAAAGATTTGGGGGCGCAGGTCAGGAACTCTGGGAGCGGCCCTAGCCAGCTGCTTGGGTGGAACCAGTTTCACCTAAGAAGCTGGGACAACCTCTAGGAGCCCAAGGTCACTGGGCGGGGCTCCTGGGAGGGGTGATTGGCCAGCTTTGTGTGACGTCACTGAGGACAGGGCGGGCGGGGCCCGCGCCACCCTCCCCTCCTAAGCCCGGCGGTGGGGTGCGGGGCTCCGGGCACGTGCCCGGATGTGCCGGCCGGTCCCCTCTGCAGCGTTTTGTCTCCTTGGCAGTCTCAGCATCCCCTGGCCTGCCCCTCCCCGCCGCCTCCGTCCTCCCCTTCCGCCCTCCTGGCTCCCCCAAGAGCCGCGGAACCGCTGAGCTCAGCTCTTCCCGCAGCTCCGTCCCGACTCGCCGCCTTTGTCCCGCCGCCGCCGGGCGCTGAGCGGGCGGGGCCGGCCGGGGAGGGGAGGGCTCTCCGGGGTGGGGGGCGGCCTCCCACTTCACTCCCGCCCCTGCTCAGTTGGGAACAGAGGAAGCTCCTCGCTGCCAGTACCACACTCTGCCTCTGAAAGGCCCGGGCCCTTTCTCTGCGCCCTGGTGCGCGCTCGCCCGCGCCCAGCCTGCGGGCTGCCAAGTGGCGCACAGGCCGCGCTCTGTTCCGGAGGTTCCGGGCCTCTGTGCGCGGGGCTGTCCGGCCGGGCGCACTCCCTCCCTGCAGAGCCCAGAGAGGAGGGCTGGGGGAGGCCGGGAGGGGTGGGGCGCCCCAGGGTGAGATTTGGAATGTCCCTGGTTAGAAATGACACCGGGTGTTTCTTGATACAAACCGGCAGCTGGCCTGCGGGCCCTAGTTTGACAATTGGATGTTTTGAGTATTAAGTTATCATTTATCTTGACTGCTGAGTTTTTTTTCCTGCCTCCTTAAATTTTGTACTTAACCAATGCCTCACTTGCCTCGCACTAGTCCTGACTCTGGTTCACAGCCCCTGGGGCCCATGGTTTCCTTCTGGGACCCTAGAAACTGCCCCCTGACCCCTCTCCATGCCCCCAGGGAGGACGAGGGCTGTGAGTGGTTCCTGTCCTTGCCACCCTGCTACCAGGGGAAGTTTCTTCCTTCCCTGTATCTGTGGCCAAGTGGGCCACTGCCACTTCTAGGACAGCCCACAGCCTCGCTCAGGGCGGGGCCGGAGAAGAGGCTGGGGGGGGGGTGGAGTTCTTAGAAAGCCAACACTGGGAAGAGATCACCTGGGTAGCCCAGGAGAAAGCAGAGAGGGCCTGGACAGGGGCCCGGGTCTCCTCTCCCAGCCCTCTGGTGGCCTGCCTGTCGGGCGTGGGTTCGAACTCTCCACCAGCCAAGGCTCGGTGAAGAATGAGCCCCAGGACGGCTGAGGCAGGCAGCGTGGCAGCCTCTTGCATGCCTGAGCGGGCATGCGGGACTCCCTCCAGAGAGCCTCCCTGGCTCTGCTGGTGGTGCTGTGGGATGACGTGTATTCAGCGATTTGGGGGTTTGAGAGTTTTCCAGTAGGAGGCAGCTGGAGACGGGGAAGGGCAGAGCTGGAATTGGTGCCAGGCGTCACCGTATCTACTGCGTGTGTGACTGAGCCACTTCAAGCCTCAGCTTTCCTTTCCGGAGGATGGGGACTGAAATCCATAGCCTGTAATCAGGCGCTCTGCGGAGGGTGTGGGGCCGGGCACCAGCACATGGAGCGTGTACGTGGACTCTTAGTTCTTTGCTTCTTTCTACCTCCAGTTACTCGTTCAGTCCCCGTTCCTGGGGCTAGCACTGTCTCCCTCTTCTAGGTCATTGCCTTGGGAATTAGTGACTCATCCAGGGTTCGTGTCCTCTTCCTCCCAGCTGCTATCCCTGCCTCTGGGCAGCACTGCTCACCCACCTGTACCCTGGCAATGCACGCTGGTGCTTAGAATGGGAAGCGTGGGGCTCTCTCTGGACCAAGAACGGTCCCAGGGCAAATGACTGACAGTACAACTCCTGGACCCTAAAACCCCAGAGTCCCCTCCTCTGCGTCCTCTTCCCCAGACTGCCCTCTGCCCGCTCTCCTCCCTGGCAGGTGGGCTCCCCGGGTGGTCTGGGCCCCCGCTGCTGAAGGAGAAGCTGTCCCCTCATGGAAGGGCTCTGACGAGCAGAGCTGCTGCTCCCCCTCCCGGGCTCCCCCTGTCTCCAGGGATGCTGATTCGATTTTCCTCCAATCGCCGGCATTGCCATCTGCCTGCAGTAATTAAATGGTATTTGAATCACATCCAGAAATCCCACGGCAGGCAGCCACGTGGAAGGGAGGGAGCGCATCTTCGGGAGCTGGTGCTGGCCAGCAGAGAAGGTCCTCAGAGGCTGCCCAGGCCAGACCCGTGGTTCACCTGGAAGCACCTGGGTGCCCCGGGAAGAATGGCTTGGTCTTGGGTCCACGGGGACGGAGCCGGGTCTGAGAACCGGAGCTCCGGATTCCCGTCCGGATACCTGTGAGCAGCGCCACACCCCTTCCTCTGCGGCTGCTGACTGCCCTCCCTCCCTGCATCCGTGAGATGCTCTTGGCCCTTGGCCCTCTGGGCCCCGGTCGTAGAGACAGTGTAGTGCAGGACCGTGGCAGAGGCGGCACACGCAGGCTGCCGGGTTCCAGCCCCTACTGTCTGCGAGGCTGGCTGAACACCAGCTCTGCTCCCTCGTCTGGAAGCGAGGGCGGTCGTGCTCGCTCACGGCGCCGGCACGCGTGGACGCTGCCTGGCGTGTGGCGAGCGCTCAGCGTGCGTGGCTCCCGTCCTCGGCGGTGGAGGTGGGAGTGGGGGTGGGGGCCTTGCTGGCCCTGAGCGCTTGCTGGAGGCTCGGTGTCAGGTCTGCAGGCGCAGAAGGGTGAGCAGGCATCAGCCATTCCCTCCCAGCCAGGAGCCAGTTCCTTTCAGGTGGGCCCAGAACAGCCGATGAGGGCGGTGACCTCTGTAGGCTTCCATTCCTTTCGAGGGAGAGCCACTGACCTCTGAGGTCGTGTGCACACCCCAGGGAAAACACTTCTGAAGCAAGCCCAGGCTCCGTCTATGAGCAGGAGCTAGGCCTGGGGCTGCTCACCCGCCCCTGCGCGCCCCCCCTGCTTTACCCCCTGGAACCCCCTCCCAGCCCAGTGCAGGGAACAGGCGCAGGTGAGCACCCCCCCATGCCGGCCTGCAGCTCTGAACGGGCCGTGGGGGCCGGGGCAGCCGGGGACAGAGACAGGATGGCGACTTGGAGGCTCTGGGCTCTGCGGCTAGGCGCCTCTAGGCCCTGGGTGGGCGCTGGCCTGGCCCTGGCGCTCTTTCTTCTCTTGGCGAATGTTGGCTGGGGGAGCGGGGCCTGACAAGCAGCCATTGTGAGCGCCGCTGGCGGCTGGCTCTCGTGAGCTCGCGGGCACGACGGCCTGACCCACCTCCCCTTTACTGTGGGGTGCCGGGGGTGCCTTCTGCCAGTCCCCACGCACGCATGCTCGGGGACTTGTGCTTGGTTGCCATGGGGACCTCGTCATGGTGACGGCTGCTTGGAAGAGGCAGGAAGGGGTGGCTGGATGGAGACGGTCCTGTCCACGGCCGGGTCCCCACGCAGTCCTGACGCCACGTCTCCTCGTTACAGGAGAACCCGCCAGGGGGTGGCAGGTGGGCCCGCCCTGCGGCTGGCCCGGTGTCCCTTCCTGGAGGTCCCTGCTCTGTGCAGGAGACATTCGACTTGACCTGGCCAGCCGGGGTTGGACTTGGCTTGGCCCCTCAGCTCCTGGAAAGGAACTAGAGCTGGAACCCGGAATGTCCAGCAGGCCCTGGCATCTGGCCAGGGGGCTTCTGGGCTGGATGACCCCTGTAGCCCCCACAGGCCTTGGCAGAGGCTCTGCCCCCCTCTAGAGCTTAGTCCTGGCCCTGGGGAACGTGGCCCAGAGCTCTGGGAGCACCCAGGCCTGTCCCTCTCGTCCCCACCCTGGCCCTGAGCTCTGTCCCCGCAGACCTGGGCAAGTGTCTTCCCCCCCGCAGAGGAGAAGCTGGCTTCTAGGGCTGCAGTCCCATCGGGAGTGTGGACATTTATGGCACACGGACCTGGATTTAGCCCCGTCACTTCCCGTCATGCACCTTGGGCGAGTCGTTTAAACTCTCTCGGCTTTCAGTTTTCTCGTCTGTAAAGTTGGGCAAACAATAGGTACCTCGTAGGCTTATGGTGAAGAATGCGTGAATTTGTGACATGCTTTGAACACGGATCTCACATGCAGAGGGCTCAATACTTGTTGGCAACTGCAGTTTTGGTGATGTTGAGGTTGTTGTTGTTACTGTGTGGCAAAGTTGCCCGTGTCCTGGGGGTGGGGGGGCTCTGAATCTTCCGTCCTTCCCCTCTGGGCTGTGGGGGAGGGGAAGCTTGGCAAACCGCCCCACCCAGCTCCAGCTGGGCCTGACCCGGGGCTGTCCCGTCTCGGGCAGGATCCGGCCCCAGCTATCAAAGGAGAAGATCGAGGGCTGCCACATCTGCACCTCTGTTACCCCGGGGGAGCCCCAGGTCCTCCTGGGGAAGGACAAGGCCTTCACCTATGACTTTGTCTTCGACCTGGACACCTGGCAAGAGCAGGTGTACTCGACCTGTGTGAACAAGCTCATCGAGGGCTGCTTCGAGGGCTACAATGCCACCGTGCTGGCCTACGGGCAGGTAAGCCCCCTCCACGCCGCCAGTGGCCACCCCCGCCTTGGGCGCCCCACCTGCTGGGGAGGGCGACCGCTCTTCCTTCGGGCCGCGGAGACCCTGCTGCACAGCCTGTCCGTGGTGTGCCACGCCGCCGCTTAGCCGGGGGTGGCCTCTCAGGGGCGGCACCAGGGCGTGGCTTTGTGGCTTTGGGACCAGGGAGGGGGCTGGCCACACACACCCTCCGCCTGTGCTCACCAATGCAGACGGGTGCCGGCAAGACCTACACCATGGGCACCGGCTTCGACGTGGCCGCGGCGGAGGAGGAGCAGGGCATCATCCCCAGGGCCATCTCGCACCTCTTCTCGGGCATCGCCGAGCGCAAGCGCCGGGCGCAGGCGCAGGGCCTGGCGGGGCCCGAGTTCAAAGTCAGCGCCCAGTTCCTGGAGGTACCGTGGCCTCGCGGGGCGGCGGGAGGGGAGGTGGGGGGACCGCAAGGCCATGGGAGCTGGGCCCTCCCCCAGCTCGGTGCCGTGGCCCTGGGCAGCCGTGGGGGCATCCGTCTGCAGGGGACGGGGTCCCCGCTGCCGGGAGTGTCCGGGCTAGGGCTGGAGGAGCAGCCGTGGGCCGCTCGAAAGGGGTTTCCTGCATCAGGCGGGGCTCGGATCGGACGTCTTCGGACCCTGCCTGATTCCGGCTCTGACGCTTCTTAGCCACGGGACCTGCTCTGAGCCTCGTCTGCGAGGTGGGGGTGACGTCTGGTCCCGTAGGGATTCCGTGAGGGTGACCTGGAAGCAAGGGCCTGGGGCGGAGTGAGAACTCTGGTGCTCTCTCTTCTGGCCTCCTCTGGGTCCCCCCAGCCTCAGCGCGGCCTGTCCTGGCCTTTCTGGCTGAGACGCTTCTCTCCGGGAGGCTGGGCCCCGGGGGGCTGCTTCTTCTCCGACCTCTGGGCAGAAGGTTCCTCCGGAAGTGGCCTTTCTCTGGGAGACTGCCAGGGGTCTACAACGGAGGCAACCGGGGGCTGTAGGGTTGGGGGGGCCTCTGGGCTCGTGACCTTGGGGCCTGTGGTGAGCCCAGCTCAGTGGCTCAGAGGCGGGAGCCCTGCCTGTCTCGGAGGGGCTCTAGGAAGGCGGGCAGCCCCGGGCACTTCTCACGGCGGTTCACCTGGCTCCCGCTCTGGGACACTAGGAGGGGTAGCTCCAATGCTTGGCGTCTACACCTCCAACCCGGGACTGCAGCTCTGGGGCATTGGCCGGGTTTGGAGCCATCCAGGGCCCCAAAACCACGATCCCCTGCTCGCTGGCACCCTGGTAGTCCTCTGGGGGAGGGTGTGGCCGCAGCCCTCTCCGCTTTGTCGAGCCACACCCCCTGCCTCCCGCACTGCAGTCGCGCCCCCGGCACCCAGGGCAGCTGCTGTCCCCTTAGGGTGCCCAGGTACCCCGCATTCTGGACTTGGGAGTGTTTCTCTGTCCTTCTGGACTTTTGCTTCTGATAAACAGACGGCCTGCGTGCGAACGCGTGCGTGTGCGTGTGCGCGTGCGCTGCTGTCCGCGCAGCTACGTAAGCGTTTCTCTCCCATTGCTTCGTTTTCTTCCCTTCTTCCTCCTGTTGCCATGGAGATCCTCAAAGAGCCGGCTAGTTCCTAGAAAATCAACACCGAAGGGTGAACCACAGAGGTTAAACGATGCGTGGGTCTGTCCAGACACAGACAGACAGACAGACACACTGTGGCTCCCATCTGCACCATCCCTTCCGTTTCCCCTTCCTGTGGGATATTTCCGTCCCTTTAAGGCCATCAAAGCCTGGGATGTCCGGGCCACGGTGCCTTCCCCTCGCCCCCGAGCATTCTCCTGGCTGCGGTTCCAGCTGCCCCGTCCCTTTTCCCGCCCCCAGCCCAGCTCCCGCCTTTTGACCTTCCGCAGGCCAGCGGTTCCAAGCGCGGCGGTCTCCATGGCTGGGACTGTCTGCAGTGGGGTGACTGCTCCTGGCCAGGTCACCTCCCCTGGTGGTCACCTCCCCCGGCTCTTTCCAGCAGGCTGGGCCTCGGGGCAACTCCCCCTGCCCTCCTCCCCGCCTGAGCGCAAGGCAGAGCACAGGGACGCGTGCTCCCCCCACGGGCAGCTTGTCCTCACCCCAACCCCCCAGGGCCTGTCGGGTCAGGACGGGGCTCCCCTGGTCTCTGCGGGGTCTGTCTCTGTCCTCCCTCAGCGGAGCCACATCCCTGTCCCCGCGTCCCCAGCCCAGTGATGCAATGGGATCTGCCCAAGCCGTGGTCGTATCTTCCTCATCTGCATTTAGGACCCGTGTCCCTTCGTCCCCTGGGACCCCGCTGGGACTGAGAGCTGCTGGCTGCCGGTTCCCCGGGGCGTGGGGGAGCCGAGTGCAGCCTCAGGACAGTTCTGCCCAGGCCCAGCTTCCCCCCACCCTGCCCAGGAGAAACGCCGTGGAATTCGGAACCCAGAGGGCATCGGAGTTGGGCAGGTTGACCTCGGGGCCTCAGTTTCCACGCCGGCAAACGGAGGCGGTCTATAGGCACCAGACAGCCCCTCGGGCGTCTCGCTGGCGCCAGACGAACCCCGCTGCCGTGTCTTCCCCGCGCAGCTCTACAACGAGGAGATCCTGGACCTGTTCGATTGCACCCGCGACCCCGACGCCCGCCACCGCAGGTCCAACATCAAGATCCACGAGGACGCCAATGGCGGCATCTACACCACAGGCGTCACTTCTCGCCTCATCCACTCCCAGGAGGAGGTGAGTCCGCGGAGGGCAGGGAAGGGGCAGGGGCGGGCCCAGGGCATCCCGAAGGGGCAGGGAAGGGGCAGGGAAGGGGCAGGGAAGGGGCAGGGGCGGGCCCAGGGCGGTCTCAGCCCTCACTGCCGCCCCTCCCCAGCTGATCCAGTGCCTGAAGCAGGGCGCCCTGTCCCGCACCACGGCCAGCACCCAGATGAACGTGCAGAGCTCGCGCTCCCACGCCATCTTCACCATCCACCTGTGCCAGATGCGCCTGTGTGCCCAGCCCGACCTGGTGAGGAGCCCGCGGGGGGCGGGGGGCGCCGTGCTGTGGGCAATCCCAGGGAGCGCGAGGCGAGGGGCCGTGGGTCCAGAGATGGCAAACCAGACGGGGCTTGCCTCTGCTGCTTGCTGCGTTTCATTTTGCTTCTTTCTTGAGCCTCAGTTACCTCATCTGTACAATGGGCTGATGATATCCCTAAAGCCTCAGTTACCCCATCCGTACAATGGGCTGATGATGTCCTTAAAGCCTCAGTTACCTCATCCGTACAATGGGCTGATGATATCCCTAAAGCCTCAGTTACCCCATCTGTACAAGGGGCTGATGGTTTCCCTAAAGCCTCAGTTACCCCATCCGTACAAGGGGCTGATGATGTCTCTAAAGCCTCAGTTACCCCATCCGTACAATGGGCTGATGATGTCCCTAAAGCCTCAGTTACCCCATCGTACAATGGGCTGATGATGTCCCTATCCTTGTGTTGAGAGGGTTACATGAGAACCAGGCGTGTGCAGATGCTGTGCACGCTGTCAGATGCCCTGCGTGTGCAAAGGGCAACCCTGCCCTGGTGGTCCTGGGGGAGTCTGTGGCCCTGGCGGTCCTGGGGGAGTCTGTGGCCCTGGTGGTCCTGGGGGAGTCTGTGGCCCTGGCGGTCCTGGGGGAGTCTGTGGCCCTGGTGGTCCTGGGGGAGTCTGTGGCCCTGGTGGTCCTGGGGGAGTCTGTGGCCCTGGTGGTCCTGGGGGAGTCTGTGGCCCTGGTGGTCCTGGGGGGGGCTGTGGCCCTGGTGGTCCTGGGGGGTGGCTGTGAGCAGAGGAGCAGCGAGGCGGGGCGGGGCGGGGCCAGACACCGCCGACTCGTGCAGGTGAGCGAGCTGAGCGGCCTTCCCGAGGGCACGGCCCCTGCGAGCGAGTACGAGACCCTCACCGCCAAGTTTCACTTTGTGGACCTGGCCGGCTCAGAGCGGCTGAAGCGGACGGGGGCGACCGGCGAGCGGGCCAAGGAGGGCATCTCCATCAACTGCGGCCTGGTAGGCACCCGGCGGGGCCCCAGCCCCAGCAGCGGCACGGCCCGTCTCAGACCCCGCAAGCACCTGCGACCCTGCGGCTGCCCCGTCCTCCCTGGGCCTCCTGCCGGCTGGGCCTCCCCCTCAGGTTCACCCCTGGCCCCCAGTGTCCTGACTCCCCCAGCTTAACACACCTGCAGATAAACCCACCCAGGGAGCCTGGGGGCTGCCGGGGCCAGCAAGGCAGGGACCCACTGGTTGGGGGGCCGCCTTGTCCCTGCCCCTCCCTCCCGGGTGCTCCTGAGTGCCGGGTCTGTCTCCGCAGCTGGCCTTGGGCAACGTGATCAGCGCCCTGGGGGACCAGAGCAAGAAGGTGGTGCACGTGCCCTACAGGGACTCCAAACTCACGCGGCTCCTCCAGGACTCGCTCGGGGGCAACAGGTATCTGATGACCAGCACCCCCGGGAGGGCAGGGGAGGGGGTGTCTCGGGAGAATTCTGACGTGCGGGTGTGGTGAATGGCGCCCGGAGGAGGGGCCCTCCCGTCCCAGACTGCAGGCTGCAGGGGTGGGAACTTGAGGTGCTTTGTGACCGTAACTGGACGATTATAGCCAGACTCAGTTTCCTTGTCTGTATGACGGGGAGAGATATCCCCCAAGGAGGTCATGCAGTCCAAATGAGATACCAGATGGGGAATGCTAGGAAAATCAGGCTCTGCGGCTTGCCCCTCTTGCCAAGCAGAGGACTCTCTGCTTGGACCAAGCAATGACACCTCACAACCTGCCCGCAACCTGTGAGCCGCCTCCATGGTGTTACCCACGGTCGCCATGGAAACTCTAGGCCAGGTGGTCCAGACCCCCGTGTCCCAGGGTCTGCCTCCCTGGATGTCTGGGTCCTTCAGGCACGGAGGCAGAACTGAGGGTTACTGGGGGGAGCAGCACCTCTGCCCGGAGGCAGCGCCCCTGGGGCCCGGCGTGCCCCTCCCCCTCACGCCAGCCTCGCCGCACCCCCAGCCAGACCATCATGATCGCCTGTGTGAGCCCCTCGGACCGAGACTTCATGGAGACCCTGAACACGCTCAAATACGCCAACCGGGCCCGCAACATCAAGAACAAGGTGGTGGTGAACCAGGACAAGACCAGCCAGCAGATCAGCGCGCTGCGCGCTGAGATCGCCCGGCTGCAGATGGAGCTCATGGAGTACAAGGCGGTGAGTGTGCACCCCGCCCCGCCCTGCGGCCCCGCCCCGCCCTGCGGCCGCACCCCGAGTCCCTCGGCACCCCTCCCGCCTCCCCGTCACCTCCCCACCTGCTGCAGGGCAAAGCTGGCCTCGCTCTCTCTGGTGGTCAGGGAGGGCCTCCTGGAGGAAGGGGCCTTTTATGTGGATTTTGAAGAATGCATGAGGTGTTAGCAAAAAGGAGGCAGGGCAGGCATTCTAGGTAGAGAACGGGCCACGCACAAAGGAACAGAAGTGGGGAAAAAAAATGGATATTTTGGGAGAAGTGTCTCATTCTACGTGACTGAGGCCGGAGTCTCCAACTGGCGGCCCACAGCCTACATCTTGTGCACAGATGGATTTTGGTTTGGTTTGCATTCCTTTTAAAAGGACGCACGTTAGCCGTCAACCTTTCCGAAAGTCAGGGAGCTTCGGTTTCTCGGGAGAAGTCTGAAGAGCCCCGTTTGGCACTCAGTTGGCTGGAGCGGCACAGTGGCCGCCCCTTGTAGACCCGGCCTCTGTTAGCTCCAGCCCCTACCACTGCCCGCTGTTTCACACCGGCCTGACTCCTTCGTGCAGCTGCCTGGGCCGGGCTGGCTTTGACCCCCAGACTAGCGTTTATGGAGGAGTGAAAGTGAGAGCCGCGGAGAGGCAGGTTGAGCAGGATCCCGGGAGGCCTCGAGTGGCTGGCTCCAGGATGTGGGCCTCCCTGTCGCCAAGGGGAGCCGCGTGTGGGTTCGGGGCGCTGGAGGCAGGGGCTGGGTCTCAGGAGACCTGGGGCAGGAGAGGCCGCCGGTGCCGCCATGTCCGGGGGGGAAAGGCCAGGGCCCTGGCGCAGGGAGGAGCCTGACGGTCCCTCACGCCCCGGCCCCCAGGGCAAGCGGGTGATCGGGGAGGACGGCGCCGAGGGCTACAGCGACCTGTTCCGGGAGAACGCCATGCTGCAGAAGGAGAACGGCGCGCTGCGGCTGCGGGTGAAGGCCATGCAGGAGGCCATCGACGCCATCAACAGCCGCGTCACCCAGCTCATGAGCCAGGAGGCCAACCTGCTCCTGGCCAAAGCCGGTGAGTCGGGTGAGCCGGCGGGCCGGGACCCCTCCCCGCGCCCGCCCAGGGCATCGGCCGGGCTGAGCCAGCCGGTCGATGCACAGAGCAATTCATGCACACACGTTTTTTTTCCCAGTTGGTTTTAAAGCATTTTTTTATGACACAAGTAACTCGTGGACACATCCTTCTTGTTAAACCTGCAAAGGTTCGTTAAAGCGAAAGATTGAAATTCCTCTCTCTCTACACGCCCCGCCCAAGCCCTCTCTGCTTCTCAGAAGGAACCTTCACGAGCAGCTTGGTGCATATTTTCTCACGCCTTTCTCAGCCCAGTGTTTCGCCTGTGAACACGTGTCCATGTACGTTCCTAACCCGTGTGCGATGTATGCCACTTCTGCAGATGAGGCCACACGTGTCGTTCTGTGACTTCCCTTTTAGTTTCATGTTTTAGACGTCTTTCCACATTAAAACCCACTTAATTCTTTTGAACTGTTGCGCGGCGTTCCGTATGTGATGGTGATGATGGATTTGCAACAGCCCTCTGTTGGCGGGCATTTGGGCGGTCTTCAGTTTCTCACTGGTCCCGGCAGTGCTTGTCTACAGCTGTACACACGTACAGGCATTTCTTTGGTGTAGACTTCTTTTTGCAAGAGGCCTGTGTGAGCCACCCCAGTGGGGGGCACGGACCTAAGAGCCCCCGTCTCAGAGCTAAAGGCGCTTGCTGTCACTCACCCTCGTGGCACCCCCTCCAGGTGACGGCAATGAGGCCATTGGCGCGCTGATCCAGAACTACATCCGGGAGATCGAGGAGCTGCGGTGAGTGGGCCCCGCCGGCGTGGGCAGGCCGGGCGGCCACGCCGGGCCCGCGAGGGCAGGGCCCGCTCACTGGCCGCACGCACGCCCCTCCCGCCCCCGCAGGACGAAGCTGCTGGAGAGCGAGGCCATGAACGAGTCCCTCCGCCGCAGCCTCTCGCGGGCCTCGGCCAGGGGCACCTACTCCCTGGGTGCTGCCTCGGCCGCCCCGGCCTTTGGGGGCAGCCCGGCCAGCTCCATGGAGGATGCCACCGAGGTGATCCGCAGGGCCAAGCAGGACCTGGAGCGGCTGAAGAAGAAGGAGGTCAGGCAGCGGAGGAAGAGGTGAGCCAGTACTGCCCCTCCCTACCCTTGGGCGCTCCCCGCCCCTCCCCACATCCCAGCCCCAGGGGCGCCCCCAGTTCCGCTATGGAGCCCATGCAGAAAAGTGCTCGGCCCGGGCAGGACCCCTTCTTCTCCAGTGCCCTGCTTCCCGCCCCCCCCCCCAGAACGGGGACAGCGGCTAACGGAGGCTGGCTCTGGGTGGGGCGCCGGGAACAGCAGGGGGTTGGCTGCATGGCAGGTGCCAGCCCCGTCCCCATGCCCTGGGGGCCAGAGCATTCCCTCCCCACCCTGCCACCCGCTGCCGCAGGCTAGAGGCAGGGTTAGCCCCCTAACCTGGCCTCCCCTCTACTCCGTGAGCAGCCCGGAGAAGGAAGCCTTCAAAAAGAGGGCGAAGCTCCAACAGGAGAACAGCGAGGAGACGGATGAGAATGAGGCAGAGGAGGTGAGGCCCACCCACCCGTCTCCCCACCTGCCCACACCCCTGTCCCGCGGCTGGGGCCCGTCCGCTTCCTTGTAGGGGGGGGCACTGGGTCTGCCTCCAGTTGATCCATGCGCTTCCCAATGTTGCTGACTGGTTGCCATGGTGATCTCCCCCCCATCCCATCCCAAATGGATGCTGCCAGGAGGAAGCCCTTTCAGGGCTCTGCCCAGGTGTTGGGGCAGGTGCTGCTCTTCCAGGTGGGCAGAGGGAGGGGCCTCGACTCAGCCTGCCCCATCCCCCGCTCCCCGCTCCCGCCCCCGCACACCTGGGGCGGCACGTCCCAACGGGCCCTGCTCCTGGGCTCTCCTGAGGCTGGGCCGCCCCCGTGGTGCTTGGTGCTCAGGAGGAGGAAGAGCGGGACGAGAGTGGCTGTGAGGAGGAGGAAGGGCGCGAGGACGAAGACGAGGACACGGGCAGCGAGGAGAGCCTGGTGGACTCGGACTCGGACCCCGAGGAGAAGGGTGCGTGGGCTGGGCTGGGGCACACGGGACGCCGGGCGGGCTCAGGCCCTGCCTGAGTCTTCAAGACGGTGGCTGTCCAGGGCCCAGAACTCCCAGGCAGGAAACCCGTGGCAGTGACAGCCACGATGGTGACAGTGACGGCAAGCGCTTTCCCACGTGCCCTGCGCGGTGCTTAGCGGAACCCTTCCCCTGGCTCGGTTCTTTCAGTCCTCGCGACGGCCCCGTGCGTGGGTGTGACGGGTTTCCCCCTGTGACCACTGAGGAACGAGCTCGGAGAGCTTCAGTGACCTGGGTCCCAGTTGGCCACGCAGGCAGGGTGTGTTGGCCTGGCTGGTGCCAAAGCCCCTTCCCCACGTGGGGACGCCCTGTGCCCCTTCAGCTGTCCCTGCCGCTGTCCCTGGCCCCGCAGCCCTGCAGGGTGCTCTCTGTTGTCTCACCCTCCTCCACCCAAGCTGGGTCCCACGTCACCTGCAACAGGTGGACGGTGCCCTCGGGTGTCCTCGCAGGGCTGGGAAGGATGTCCAGACGCCCCCGCCGGCTCCTGAGCCCAGCCTCGCGCTTCTGGGCTGCTCCTTAAACGTGTCGTCCCCCTGTCTGGTGGCACGCCGCCTGCCTCTGGTCACCGAGGGGTCTTGGCCCCCCCAAAGGAGGGCCCCACCCCCTGGTCCCCCCAGCCTGCTCCCCGCCTGCCCCCTGGTCCCGGCGCTGGCCGCACTGAGCCTGGCCGTGCCCCCGCAGAGGTGAACTTCCAGGCGGACCTGGCCGACCTGACGTGCGAGATCGAGATCAAGCAGAAGCTGATCGACGAGCTGGAGAACAGCCAGCGGCGGCTGCAGACGCTCAAGCACCAATACGAGGAGAAGCTGGTCCTGCTGCAGAACAAGATCCGCGACACGCAGCTGGAGCGCGACCGCGTGCTGCAGAACCTCAGTGAGGCCCACCCCCAGCCCGCGCGGACCCCGCAGACCCGCGCTCTTCCCCGAGCCCCTCGCCTGTCAAAGGTGCCACCCAGGCCGGGCGCGGGGGCTCACGCCTGTAGTCCTGGCACTCCGGGAGGCCGAGGTGGGAGGATTGCTTGAGGTCAGGCGTTCGAGACCAGCCTGAGCAAGAGCGAGACCCCGTCTCTACTATAAATAGAAAGAAATTAGCTGGACACTTAAAAATCTATATAGAAAAAATTAGCCAGGCAAGATGGCACTTGCTTGTAGTCCCAGCTACTCAGGAGGCTGAGGCTCCTGGAGGATCGCTTGAGCCCGGGAGTTGGAGGTTGCTGTGAGCTTGGCTGATGCCAGGGCACTCTAGCCCAGGCAACAGAGTGAGACTCTGTCTAAAAAAAAAAAAACGTGCTACCCATCAGCTGGCATCTTGGAAGCTTACCTGGCCTTCTGGGGCAAGGGACTTCTGACCTTTGACCCATGGTTGAAAGTTCTTACGTGTAGCCCAAGTCCCTGTGCCACACTCTAAATCAATCTTTCTTGAAAATTAGAATCCTCGTCGGCCTGGGCGTGTGAACGTGGCACCCCAGGCCTTTTCTCCTGCCCTCAGTTCCTTGGATATTTTGCTTTGGGGCTGTTTGCAAACCTCCTCACACCCTGTCTTCCTTGTGCTGCTTTTCAGCCCATTTGTTCCCTCTTTTCTTCATTCATTCATTCATTCATTCATTCATTCCGTTATTCAGCACACACATGCCGAGTACGTGGTACGGGGCATGTCAGATGCTGATAGGACGATGGGGGAAAGAAACCATGGCAGGGAAGAGACACAGGGAGTGCTGGGGGGAGTGGGTTAGAGATTTTTAAAGATGGTCGTGGAAGACTGCTCTGAGAAGGTGACATCTGAGCAAGGACTTGAGGGAGATGAGACAGCGTCAGAGCGGAATGAGCCGACAGGGGTGGGGGTGGGAGGGCATTCCAGGCAGAGGGAACAGAAGGTTCGGAGACCCTGCGGCCGGCGTGTGCCTGGCGTGTTGGCGGGGTGTTGAAGGGGCCGGAACGGTCGGAGCACAGCGAAAGGCACAGGCTGGGGAAGGGATGTGGGGCCGGGTCATGCCAGTCGTCGTCGGGATAGCGCCTCATGCTCCGAGGGAGATGGGAAGGCGCGGAGTTTTGAGAAAGCTCCGTGATGTGAGGTTTAAAAGCATATATATATATTTTAAAAAACCGCTCTGCTGTGAAGGAGAACGAACGTGGAAGCTGGAGACCACTTAGGGCACTCGTAAGGGTGCCAGGGAGGTGAGCTGGGCAGGAGTGGTGAGAAGGGTCGGATTCCGGATGCGTCTTTGCAGGCTGAGCCCAAAGGCTGTGCTGGTTGGGGGAAGGTGGGTGTCGGGAAGAGGAGAGCCAAGGACGTCTCAGCCAGGCGGCGATGGTGGTCACTGGGGTGGGGGAGCCGGGGAGATGAGGACTTCGCTTCTGTACCTGTTAGGGTGGAGACGTGCATTCACAGTTCAGGTGGAGAGGTCTAGGGTGGAGAATCAGCTTCTTCCTTCTGCTCCGGCCCGCACCACTGTGTCTGCTCTTGCTAGCTCTTCCCCTCCCCACTGCCCCAGCCCTTCCCTCCAACGCTGGACCGTGAGCCAGCACCGAGCCCTCCTGGGGAGCCGGAGACCCGGGGCTCGGAGATCTCAAGACGAAAAAATACACCCCTCAGGTTGCAGTAGAATGTCAGAGCGGGAAAGGGCCGGGGCACCTGCTAGTCTGACCCCCTTGTTGTTCGAATAAAGCAGCAGGCTCAGAGGGGGTGTGGCTCGCCCAGGGTCACACAGCAAGACTAGAGCCCGGGCCTCCTGCCTCCCCTGTCGAGGAGCCCGCGTGTGGCGGGACCCGGCGCCCACCGCGCCCCTTGCCGCCCCCAGGCACCATGGAGTGCTACACGGAGGAGAAGGCCAACAAGATCAAGGCGGACTACGAGAAGCGGCTGCGGGAGATGAACCGCGACCTGCAGAAGCTGCAGGCGGCGCAGAGGGAGCATGCCCGGCTGCTCAAGAACCAGTCGCGCTACGAGCGGGAGCTGAAGAAGCTGCAGGCCGAGGTGGCGGAGATGAAGAAGGCCAAGGTAGGGGCTGAGGACGCGAGGAGCAGGGCCGGGGGCGTCCATGCGGCATCTTCGTAGAATCCACTTACCCGCATTAAAGAGGATCCTTGCTGTCAAGAGTGGATTCTCTTCTTGACACGCAGCGTTGCCTAGATCAACCCTGCCCTGACCCTGGACACTGTCCTCCGGGCCCAAGTGCATCGTCCAGGTTGAAACAACCCGGCCCCAGTAGCCGGGCGGGGTGCAGGTGGTGGGTTGTGCGGGGCAGGTGCAGGGCAGGTACGGGGCAGGTGCAGGGCAGGTGCGGAGCTCCGGAGGCGCTGCTCAGTGCTGCCCCCTGTGGTGGGAGTCTGCACCACATTTGCTCTCGGTCTACACGAAGCTCATGTGAGGTGCAGCCCTTGCCTTAGATAATAATAATTACCGTTGTCTGAATGCTCACTCTGGCCAGGCTCCAGGCTGGTCTTTCAGTCCTTAGAAGAACCTCATGAAAGAAGTCCTGTTGTTATTTCCAGTTTATGCATGGGAAAGGGAAGCTCAGAGAAGTTAATTCCAGCTTCTAAGAGGTAGCACTGGGATTTGAACTCGGTTCTCTGCCTCCTAAGCAGGTGTGTGTTCTAGGTGGCACAAAGCCTCCCTTTTCTACTTTGCCGGCCCTCAGAGTGCTCCAGTCTCTGGGGCCTGGGGTCCGGTGGCCCTGAGGTTCTGGCTTTGGGGCTCAGGTCTTGTGCCTCCTGGGTCTTGTGTGTTCTGGCTCCTGCCCGGGTTCAACAGACCTGCATTCCCTTCCTGTCCTCCCTCTCCCCCACCCCGGGCCTTCCTGGTCCTGCACTCCTGCCTGCTGTGACCCCCAGCCCCTGGTGTGCCCCAGCTCTCCATAGCCCTGTGCTAGGCCCTGGGGCCGGACCGCCCAACAAAGCCTGGCCCTGGTGGCAGCTCCAGCCAGCTGTGGAAGGCTGGCCTTGGGGACAGAGACACCGGGAAGAGGAGCTCCCCCGTGCTTGGGGCCAGTGGAACAGGGTCTGCTGGAGCCGCCAGTAACTGCATCCTCACCGCTGAGTCTGGGCGTGCAGAGGAAAGAGGCAACGCAGCAGTGGCTGACGTAGATTCTGGGAGAAGGTGGACCCGCAGCTGTCACCGAGGCCCAGCCGCCTCACCTGGGCAGGCTCAGTCCCCAAGCCTGGGGCCGCAGGTCCAGGGTCTCCATCAGTCCGACCAGAGTGCACAAGGCCCGGCCTTGCTGGAGTCAGACCAGCGCCCGTGGCCCAGCCCCATGGAGCCCCGTTTTCACCTTCTACATCAGTGCGGCCACCTTTTGGGGTGTTGAGACAGGGCTGCCAGGGTGACGCTGAAGGGACTCGGGCACCACAACCCACAGAACAGTTGGGGCCCCAGGCACCTGCTGGGGGTTTATAGGGAGGGACCAGCGGGCCTTTGCTACCCCCCAGGTGGAGCAGCACCCCCGCCGTGGGCCCCCACGTTCTGCAGCAGCTCCTGGAGCACTTTCGGGGTGTGCGTCTGTGTCCCCACTCTCTGTCTCCATGGAAATGCCTAGCCGCATGACGCCTCTGCAGGGCACCCAGCCTGTCCTGGCCAGCTCACAGCCCAGCTGGGGGTGGCCCTGGAGAACCTCAGAGAGGCACGTCCTCGTCTGGCTCTGAAGCCTGGAAAAGCAATGTGATGCCCGGCTGTAGCTGGGGGACGGAGGAGCCACGTGTGTAGCTGTGCTCCAGTCTCGGATTGCTCGGGCCCTTCAGCCGGGCGCCCCGCTCCGTCCACACGGCTGTGCTCTCGGGAGCCCAGGGCCAGAGCTGGAAGGAACGCCCTCGGGTCATCCCAGGGCTCCTGTCGCAGGGACAGAGGGCTCAGCGGCCAAGGGCTCTAACCAGACGCCGTGAGAGCCGGCGCCCCAGAGCCTTCCCGCCGCTGTTCAGCCGCAGGGCCCGGAGAGTCCCGGGACGGACGCTGGCGGGGACCCGCAGCCTCGGGGCGTCCTAGGGAGAGGGCACCCTGCCTTCTGCTTTAGGCCTGAGGAGCAGTGCTGCTCCCAGGCACTGTGACCCGATTTAGCCTTGTCGTGGGCCTGCAGTGTGCTCACGTGTTCTGAGATCTCCACCTCCGTGTGGCCTTCTCAGAGCTCAGCCATGCATGACACATGCACACGTGCGTGGATGGGCCTTGGACCAGGAAGCCTCAGGCCCAGAAGATACCTGGCACTTGAGGTCTACACACAGCTCCAGGTGTGCTGGAGTCTTCAGGTCCGGCTCTAGCCAGGGAGCTGACTCGGTCTCCCGAGCCCCAGTCCTGGGGGAAGAACACTCGTTCTCGATGCCAGAGACCCGGCAGTAGCGAGCCCTCCTCTTCTCTGCAGTCACCCCGCAGAGCCTGCCTGTCCTCCCAGGGAGAAGCCGGCCCTGCCAGCCCCCCGGGCCCCCTTAAAGCCCACCTCCCTCCCTCCCGTGCCATTTCCTCTCCTGCCTGTCCTCAGGGCAGGGCAGGCTGGAGACATTCCTGGCGATATCTGAGGCTTCAGGGACAGAGGAAGGACCAGCTTTATGTTTCTCATATGATTCTTGTGCCCCGGTCACTTGGAGGTGTCGAAAGCCCCGTGTGCATTGCAACCCAATGTTTTGGGCACCAGGAAAGGGGAGGCAGGGCCGGCAGGGCCCCAGGTCAGTGGCTTCCCGGCATGCTGGCTGTCTCTGGCCACACTGATGGTGCCTCTGGGCGCCGAGCTCTCCACCCTGGGTCCCCACCCTCGCTCTGAGCCGCTGCGGCGCCGTGGCTGGAGCCCCAGGAGGGGCTGGATCAGGGAGGCAGAGTGACCTGGGCACCACGTCTGGCCTCTGACACCGGTTTTATGACTCTAAGTCCCTTTGTCTCTCTGAGGCGCATTTCCTTGTTTATAAGACAGAGTGATGATGCCTCTGTCACCTGGTTGTCACGAGCACGGTGGCAGGTGTGGCATGCAGCTGCTCCTCAAATAATGCTCACCGTGCGCCTGGCCCGGGATCCAGCGCTGAGCCTCACGCAGCCGTGTCCACGGCCCAGGCTGTCAGTGCTCCCAGGCTGGTCCTAGAACGGCCAGAGCCCAGGACAGTGGCCTTGGGTGAAGGCCACCAGGGGCCGTGACATTCAGAGTGGTGGGGGCCAGAGTGGGCCCTTCCGGGGTGGGAGCACCCGCACCCCTGGGCTGGCATAGGTCCACACCTCTCTGCAGGTCACCCATGAAGGAGTGGGGGGTGGGCCCTTCGCTCCAGACCCCCGAGTCCTGAGCCAGAGTTGCCCGGCTGGCCGCTCCCTGGAGGGTGTGGCCGCCCACTGCCCAGCCCTGCCTCACCACTGCCGCCTCTGCCCGCCGCAGGTGGCCTTGATGAAGCAGATGCGCGAGGAGCAGCAGCGGCGGCGGCTGGTAGAGACCAAGAGGAACCGGGAGATCGCACAGCTCAAGAAGGAGCAGCGGCGACAGGAGGTGAGGGCAGCCCTCGAGGCTCCCGGGGCCTCAGCCCCAGCACCCTGGCCCGTGCACCTGGCTGCACCTCCTGACCACGTGGGCCCGGCCGTCCTAAGCCGTAGCAGTCGTGCGCGGAGAAGCACATGCAGCCTGCCCAAGAGGGGCAGAGAAGCCCCTGTGGCTTCCATCTCAGCCCCCGCGTGCTCAGAGTGGGGACTGGAGTCCCAGGGAAGGGCAGAAACTTGCCCAGGGTCACCAGCAGGCTCCAGTCCCTGCAGGAGACCCCAGGAGGGCTGAGCTTTGCGGTCAGGGATTCCTCTCCCCCACGGCCCGGAGAAGCGGGCAAGGGAATTGCCGCTGCAGAGAAAGGGACGTCACCCCGTCCTCTTGGGAGGGCAGCCAGACACTGGGGCCCGTCCAACCAGCCACGTGGCTGTTGGATACTCACCCCGAATCCCAGGCTTTCGGCTACAGAGCCAGCTGGCGCGGGTGGTGGGGGGTGCTCAGGGGCCTGCGTGAGGACCCCACGCCTCCCCTCTCCCCGCAGTTTCAGATCCGCGCTCTGGAGTCCCAGAAGCGGCAGCAGGAGATGGTCCTGAGGAGGAAGACGCAGGAGGTGAGCCCCCGCCGTGCACGCCCCGCTGCGCTGCACCCCTGCTTCTCCACCTCCGACTCCCTGGGGGGGATAAAGGCAGCATGTCCTAGTCCCACAAGCCCGGCAGGGAGGGGAGCAAGCCCTGCCGGGGCCCTGGCTCCCCCTTTCCTTCCTTAAGGGAGCACAGTCGCCACCAGGTTGTGTCTGGGCTCCCGGAAGGGCCTTGCTCAGGAGAGAGCCAGGCCAGAGCCAGGCTGCGGCTCCCTGCCCAGTCACCTCGGCTGTGCGTTAAGAGGAAAAAAGGGTGGGCTGGCGCGGTGGCCCACGCCTGCAATCCCAGCACTCTAGGGGGCCAAGGCAGGCGGATTGCTTGAGCTCAGGAGTTCCAGACCAGCCTGAGCAAGAGTGAGCCCCCGTCTCTGCTAGCAAAGATAGAAAGAAATTAGCTGGACAACTAAAAAAAATATATATATATATATTAAAAAAAAATTAGCCGGGCATGGTGGCGCATGCCTGTAGTCCCAGCTACTCGGGAGGCTGAGACAGGAGGATCGCTTGAGCCCAGGAGTTTGAGGTTGCTGTGAGCTAGGCTGACGCCACGGCACTCACTCTAGCCTGGGTAACAAAGTGAGACTCTGTCTCAAAAAAAGAAAGAAAAAGGGTGGGAGTCTCTTCTGTGTTTGTCTCACACCAGACAGAGGCCCTGAGCTCCGTGCCCCTGCCCGCTCCCCATCCCGGCCCCGCGTGGGCGTCCCGGCCGCCCTGCTCACCGGCCGCCTCTGCTCCTCCCACGCCCGCCCTCCGCAGGTGTCCGCGCTGCGGCGCCTGGCCAAGCCCCTGTCGGAGCGGGCGGCGGGGCGTGCGGGGCCGAAGCCTGCCCTGCAGGACTCGGGGGCCGAGGTGTCGGCCAGCACCACCTCCTCCGAGGCCGAGTCCGGCGCCCGCTCCGTGTCCAGCATTGTGCGCCAGTGGAACCGCAAGATCAACCACTTCCTGGGCGACCACCCGGCGCCCGCCGCCAGCGGCTCCCGCCCTGCCCGGTGAGGGTTGGCCTGGCGGTGTCCTGTGTGGGCAGGGGGCGGGGGTGCGGGCGCAGAGCTGGGAGGGGGAAGCTCCGGGGAGGGTTCCGGGCGGCCGCAGCTGCCGGCTCCGGGCAGGGGCTCCGGGGAGCTGCGGCGGTTACGGGGGGGGGGCCCGTCCGACCCGCTTTGCCTCTGGCTCCCAGAAAGAAGTTCCAGAAGAAGGGGGCCGGCCAGAGCTTCAGCAAGGCCGCCAGGCTCAAGTGGCAGTCCCTGGAGCGGCGCATCATCGACATCGTCATGCAGAGGATGACCATCGTCAACCTGGAGGCCGACATGGAGCGCCTCATCAAGGTGGGCCTGCCCCGCCCGCCCCGCCACCTGTCCTGCTCTGTCACCTGTGACTCCTCCGGCTCCTCGGGTCTCTCCCCACCTCCTTTCCCCGCTCTGGAGTCCCGGGGTGCTGGGGCCCCCCCGTGCTCCAGCCTGGGGCGGGAGAAGGCCGGGCAGCTGCCTGAGGCCTCTCCCCCTGCACGCGCCCCCCAGAAAAGGGAGGAGCTGTTCGTCCTGCAGGAGGGGCTGCGCAGGAAGCGGGAGCGGCTGCAGGCTGAGAGCCCCGAGGAGGAGAAGGGGCTGCAGGAGCTGGCGGAGGAGATCGAGGCGCTGGCGGCCAACATCGACTACATCAACGACAGCATCGCCGACTGCCAGGCCACCATCGTGCAGCTGGAGGAGACCAAGGTCCCTGGGAGGCTGGGCCGGGCGGGGCGGAGCTGGGGGAGCGGTGGCAGGGGCAGCCCCGGTGACGGGGGTCTCTGCCTCCCGGTCCCAGGAGGAGCTGGACTCCACAGACACCTCGGTGGTCATCAGCTCCTGCTCCCTGGCCGAAGCCCGCCTGCTGCTGGACAACTTCCTCAAGGCGTCCATCGACAAGGTGAGCTCCCTGGGCACGGGGCCTCCAGGGCACACCTGGCAGTGGAGCCCCCGCCGGGCTCCTCCTCCCCAGCTGCGGCTCACGGGCTGCGGCAGGTTCTGCAGCTGGGATGCCGGCGCTTAGTGGGGCCGTGAACTGGACCCTGCGTGTCTGGCCTAGGCCTGTCCACGGCGGCCCTGGGCTTGCTTTTTTTTTTTTTTTGAGACAGAGTCTCACTCTGTTGCCCGGGCTAGAGTGAGTGCCCTGGCGTCAGCCTAGCTCACAGCAACCTCAAACTTCTGGGCTGAAGCCATCCTCTTGCCTCAGCCTCCCTGGTAGCTAGGACTACAGGCACCAGCCACCGTGCCCGGCTAATTTTTTCCCTATGTTTTTAGTTGTTTGGCTAATTTCTTTTCTTTTTGTCTTTTTGCTATCTGTCCTGAACACAATAATTTCTTTGGTAGAGACAGGGTCTCCCTCTTGCTCAGGCTGGTCTCAAACTCCTAAGCTTAAGCGATTCTCCTGCCTTGGCCTCTTAGAGTGCTAGGATTACAGGCGTGAGCCACTGTGTCTGGCCTAATCTTTTTTTTTTTTTAATTTTTTATATAATTTATTATTTTTTTCTGATTTGATCAGGTAACTAACTGGTCTCCTCTCCTTTCATGAGCACATTAGCTGTATTGTGTCAGGGCCGCCATATGACTCGTCACCTCTTTAAAGGGCCCATCTCCACATACAGGCACCTTCCGAGGTGCTGAGCATTAGAGCTCCAACCCAGGAGCCTGGGGGGACGCCCTCCAGCCCATGAGAGGGTGTGTCCTAGGGTGGCCTCCGCTAACTTGTGCAGTGTGGGAACTAGGGGGGCTGGGGTGCCCCCCAGGTCCGTGACAGGTCACACGGTGATGCCCGGGAGCTGGGAGGGGTCCCAGGTGTGTGTGGGACGGGGCTCGCCGGCCCCGAGGGGTGACCGAGGCCCGGCCCCCGCCCCCAGGGGCTGCAGGTGGCACAGAAGGAGGCCCAGATCCGTCTGCTGGAGGGCCGGCTGCGGCAGACGGACATGGCGGGCCCCTCCCAGAACCACCCGCTGCTGGACGCGCTGCGGGAGAAGGCGGAGGCGCACCCCGAGCTGCAGGCACTCATCCACAACGTGCAGCAGGGTAGGGCGGGCGGGCGGGCGCCCGGGCACTCCCAGCGCTCTCCGGCTCTGGCCCCGGGGAGGACCTCGCCTCCCCAGGACTCCCCAGAGGCCCCGGGGGGAGCCCAGTGGGTGAGGGGCTGGGGGAGGCTGTCCCCTGTCCCTGCACCCCCCACACGGCCTCAGTGCCCCCCCCGCCCCCCACAGAGAACGGCTATGCCAGCACGGACGAGGAGGTCTCGGAGTTCTCCGAGGGCAGGTGAGTCTGCAGGCCGGCGGGAGAGGCTGGCCCGCAGCCGGTGCCCGGGGCTGGCGGGGGGCGCTGCCACGGGGGCCGGGGCTGAGCCTGGCTTTAGGGGGGGTATCTGGGGACCCACAAGTCTTTAAGTCCCAGAGAGCGAGTGCGCCAGCTGTGGAGACCCTGATCCCTCCTCGCTTCTTCCCCAGCTTCTCCCAGTCCTTCACCATGAAAGGCTCCACTAGCCACGACGACTTCAAGTTCAAGGTGAGCCTGCTAGACGTCGGGCAGTAGGTGCAGCAGGGCCGGCCTCCCCACCGCCTGGTCCCCACCACCCCCCAGCCCCGGGCTGTGGCTCTGCCCTACCCCTGGCCTTGAATCCATATTGATCCAGCTGGGATCGAGGGGCCAAGAAGACCTAGCCTGGAACTGGGGGGCGTCCAGCTAGGTAGCCTGTTACAGCCCATTCTTTTTGAGGTGGGTGGAAGGTCAGAGAAGTGGCCGGAGCCGCTGCCGGCCTCTCTGTGTCCGCCCTGCCTGGTGGCATCACGGTAACCAGCAGTCCTGCTCCCCAAAATCTGCTTCCCTGCCTGTGGCTCTGCCTCCTGCTCTGTCCAGCCACCTTGCACGCAGGCAGGGGGCTCAACAGCACGGGAGTCAACAGCCAGGGAGTTTGCTTAACCACTTCGGGACGGCGCCCACCAGCCGCGACACCTCGCCACGGCGGCTGCGCTGTGCGTGGACCACGAGTCCGTTCCGCTCTCGTGTGGTGAGGAGAGCTCGAAAGCACTGACAGCTTGTTCTACTTTCCAGGCAGCTTTACTCGTCATGTGAATCAGGATAGGCAACATAGACATACATGTTTTCATGACGTTATTTTTAAATGTGCACAATTTTATTTCGATAAATGAAAAATTAGAAAAGTCGTGTCACGGCTGTCGGCTAAAGTCGCTGTGCGCGTTCATCTGTGGCCGTCGGCTACAGTCGACGCTGGTCCCGAAGTGGTTAACGGCGGCGGGTTAGTTGTTAGACTGAATCAAGATGCAGGATTTATTAAAGAGGGAATGGGGGGAAAGCTGCAGACTGGGAACGGTAAATGATGCGTAGTTTTGGGGTGTGCTGGTTAGCTGGTGACCTGGGCGTCGTGTGTGTGTGTGTGTGTGTGTGTGTGTGTGTGTGTGCGCAAACTCCCGCTGAGCCAGTCAATTCCAGCCGCTCCGGGTGCTCCGGAAGCCTTGAGCGGTTAGCGTGGCACACAGGAGTCTCTGGGAGGCGACTGCCCGGGTCCTCCCGCCAGCGCCTCTCCCCCAGGCCAAGGCGGCACCGTCCCCTCGTCAGACTTTCCCTGGTCCCCGTATGTGCCGCCCCGGTTGAGCAGCGGCCCGCCCGTCCTTCCCTTCCCAGGGCGAGCCCAGGCTGTCGGCCCAGATGAAGGCCGTGTCGGCCGAGTGCCTGGGCCCCCCGCTGGACATCTCCACCAAGAACATCACCAAGTCCCTGGCCTCCCTGGTGGAGATCAAGGAGGACGGAGTGGGCTTCTCCGTCCGGGACCCCTACTACCGGGACAAGGTCTCGCGCACTGTCAGCCTGCCCACTCGGGGCAACACGTTGTAAGGACGGGAGCCAGGCACGTGGGTCGGGGTGGGCCTGGGGGTGGGCCCGGGCCTCACGGCACCCTCTCTTCCAGCCCCCGGCAGTCTCGAGGCTCGGAGACGTCCCCCCTGACGAGACGGAAGTCGTATGACCGAGGGCAGCCCATCAGGTGAGAGCGTGTTCTAGAATCTGCTCCAGTAAGTCCCTGCTGGGGCCGTCGTCCTTGGGGGCACAGATAGCTGTGATGTTCCGCTGCGTGGGTCATCTCCGACACTTTCTAATCCGGGCCAGGGTGACAGAGCCATTCGGCTTCTCCCTCTGGTCCCTGGGCTCAGGAAATGTGATCTCCGTGAGGCTCCTTGAACGGGGCTGTCGAGCCAGATGCCATCGTAAAAATCCGCTCGCTTGCCTGCTTTCCACGTAGGTGGGTTTGTAGTGGCTTTGTTAGTCATTGCACTGATGTGCTTCAGCCCCTTTTTGTGACCACAGGTGCTTGGGGGAGCGTCAGGTCTTTTTAAGGCCTTGTCATGCAGGGGAGTGTAGAAATTCAAAGAAAAACCAGAGACACCAATGGAGGGACGTCTCTAGCTGGCCGGCTGCACGTGGGCCAGGCCCCTCAGAGCTTCTGCACGCCGCAGGGTGACTCTCGGTGTGCTCCGGTGCGAGCATGTAACTTGCAGAGGCTCGGTGGCCTTCCCCAGTGCACACAGCCAAGTTGGGGGAAGCAGGGGCTCGGGGTGACCGCTTGCTACCTGCCTCGGTGGGAGGCAGGAGGGGGACTTGCTCAAGCCGCCGGCCACCCCCCCTCCTCCCCAAAGCCGGGAAGACGCCCCTGGCCAGTGGTTTGCAGGGCAGCGGTTGGTGGGGAGGGATTGCCGGAACATCTGGGCTCTTGGAGCCGCACACACTGTCACGTCACCTGTGCCCTGGGAGAACACACCTGAGCTGCAGTGTGACGGATTCAGGCCAAACTCGGGACGGACTCTGCAGAGGGAGGGAGGACTTAGGCTGCACCTAGGGGCGTCTTTCCAAAGAGAGGGCTCTGGGGGTGTTGGAACGGGCGGTGCACCCTTCCTTCCTGGAGCCGGTTCTCGTCATTTGCAGTAGTCACGTTCTGCAGAGTCGGCACAAACGCTGGATCGCTGAGTCCCGAACCACTGCTCCTGGGAAGAATACAGGGTTCAGTTCCTTTGAGCCTCTGGCCACCACATTTTTATCAGCTCACCAGTATGTAACCTCGAGTCCTGAGTTTCTGTTTAGAGACACCTTACTTAATAGGTGTCCTTGATTCACTGACATTGGACTCATGGTCAGTCAGGGGCACCGCTACTCGCTCGTGCCCGTTCCTCTTCCCCGTAAGCCGCGTCCCAGCCTTCCTGCGCTTAGCAGCACCGGGCCGCACTGCACCGCTAGGCCCGGCGCCCTTTTAAGCAGTGAAATCGCCAAGAAAAAGCACAAACGTGCACAGTGGCCTGGCCCCCGATAGACCATGGCGAGGCCGCTGTTCACAGTGTGAGAGCCAGAGCGAGGCAGGGCGTCTCCTCGCCCACCCTCGCTGGGGACATGCACATTCAGCGACTCACGCTTTTTGCTGCTCTGCGTGCGTCCCAAGAATGAGCGCAGAAGCACGAGTACTGAGCTGGGGATCACAAATGCATTTCAACAAGCAGGTGAATTCCCGGATACGAAATCCGTGAATGATGAGCATTGGTTTATTTATTTATTTATTTACTTACTTACTTTTTGAGACAGAGTCCCACTGTGTTGCCCAGGCTAGAGTGAGTGCCGGTGCATCAGCCCTAGCTCAAGCAACCTCAACCTCCTGGGCTCAAGGGATCCTCCTGCCTCAGCCTCCCGAGTAGCTGGGACTACAGGCATGCGCCACCATGCCCGGCTAATTTTTTTCTATATATTTAGTTGACCAATTAATTTCTTTCTATTTATAGCAGAGACGGGTCTCGCTCTGCTCAGGCTGGTCCGAACTCCTGACCTCAAGCAATCCACCTGCCTCGGCCTCCCAGAGAGCTAGGATTACAGGCGTGAGCCACTGTGCCCGGCCTGTTTGTTTTTGAGACAGAGTCTCACTCTGTTGCCTGGGCTAGAGTGCCGTGGCGTCAGCCTCACTCACAGCAACCTCAAACTCCTGGCTCAAGCAGACCTCCTGCCTCAGCCTCCTGTAGCTGGACACAGCCATGTGCCACCGTGCCCAGCTAATTTTTGTATATTATTTTTTAGTTAGTCAATTTATTTCTTTCCATTTTTAGTAGAGACAGGGCCTCACTCTTGCTCAGGCTGGTTTCAAACTCCTGACCTTAAACGATCTCCCGCCTCGGCCTCCCAGAGTGCCGGGATTACAGGCGTGAGCCACTGCGCCCGGCCGAGGATTGATTTTTAAAAACAGCATCCAGGAGCCCAGCTGGGGACTGAGGCCGTGGTGGAGCTCCAAGGCGACGATGGGGCGCCCTCCTTCCCTCCCTCCCCCCGGGCAGAAGGCGAGAGCCCGCGCAGGTGTGGCCTGTGGCGCGGGGCGGTCACCAACACGCTGTCCTCCACCCACCACCGCAGTCCACGGACGGGGTGGTTCACACCCCCGTCATCCCCCCACCGGCCCCCGCAACGACCGCAATGCTTTCTCCCGTCTCACCAGCAACCAGAGCCAGGGCTCGGCGCTGGACAAGTAAGCAGGGCCGCGGCGTGGCGGGCAGGAGGCCTGCGGGCGGTGCTGGCTGGGGCGCGGCAGACCCCAGCCTGTTGCTCTGTTCCAACAGCCGAGGCTCTGACCCCTCTCCTGGCATCTCCGTCCTTTTCATACCGGCCGCGGGCCCTGCTGTCCCCTGAGCCTGCCGGGCCCTTAGCAGAGGGCAGGATGGAAGCCCCGGGGACCGGGACACCGGGCTGGGGGTGGCCATGGCAGGGGGCTCTGCAGCTCCGTCCCCCCCGTCTGCCTCTGCGGTGCTTCTCTGAAGTCCCACCCTGCAGCTTTCGCCTCTCTGGCGTCTGCCCACACGCTCCGCCCGGGCCCCAGCGGTCCCTGTGAGCCGTCCCTGCAGAAGGAGACCCCCAGGTGACATTCGCCTGGCAGGTCCCGAGCAGCCCGCCCCGTTGCGGTGCTCTCGTCACTGACGGTGCGGTGTCTTAGCAGCAGCCCCTGCGCTCGTTCAGTTGCTGCTCCCACCTTGCCCGGCACCCCGCTTTCGTGCCTGTGACTCCTCTTGGCCTGTCGACCAGCCGTGACATGGCCTTCCCCGTGTGACACGAGAGGGAACAAGGCTCAGAGAGAAGCCGAGGACGTGGGCCTAGAGAGTGCCAAGCGGGGCCCAGAGCCTGGGGCTTTCACGTCTGCCCGCTCCGCCTGGGAAAGGGGGAAACCCCGTCCTCCGGGTGCTCCCCTGTGCTCAGCCCGCCCCAGCCCTCTCTAGCTTTCTGCAGCCCCCCAGGTGGCTCCTCTCTTGGCTCCCTAGAAGTTCCCGTACCCCAAAGGGCAGTGGTGCTGCATCCCGAGGGGGAGCCCAGAGATGGAAAGTGCTTGTCCGTGTGTCTGGCGCCTGACGTCCCCTCCCCCCTTCCCGGCAGAAACGCCCCTCCCTGCACCAAAATGCAGCTCCCAGGGCTCGGAGCCTAGCGGACGCGGCCCCCAGCACCCTCCTTCCCCAAACCTGCCTCAGCTCAGGTTCGCATTGGGGGCCTGTGGCCCAAGCCAGGCCTGTCCCGTGCTGTTGCAATCCACAAGTTCCCTTTCTGGAAGGAGTGGGGTGGGACTCTGCCCAGCCCAGCCTGGTGGTGCCCTACAGTCCTCGGTCCTGTCCGGTGGTCCACGTCCCGGGCCCACGCCTGGCACAGAGCCGGCTGCAGGCATGGTGCTGTGGACTCCCTGGGGACAGGTGGGCTTTGCAGCTAAGTGAGCACCTGAGACGTCGTTGGCAGAAGCTGCCTCCCAGGGGAGGACCAGGGAGGGCTTCTTCGGCCCCGGCCAGGTGTGCACCTTGCTGGGTGGGCAGGTGCTCCTCTCGTGCAGCGGGGCAGCCAGAGAGCTTGGAACCAGGTGTCCCCGAGCATGGGGCAGGTGCTCACAGCCCCCCCCCCCGAGATCCCGTCCCCCCCGCCAGCTGACGGACCCCAGTGGCCCGCTCCCAGGGGAGCCCCCCAGCTCCCAGGCCAGCCCGCCCCACCCTCCCCTGCTCTCCCTGGAAGGCCCTCGTTCCTCCGCCTCTCTCCCTGCCCCCGAAGAGAATAACCTGCCCGCTGACGTCCCGTGCTGCTGCTGCCTCTGCCGTCCCCTGCTGTGTGTCTCCCTCTCGCCCCCTAATCCAGCTAATTTTCTGCCCTCCCCAGGTCTGATGACAGCGACTCCTCTTTGTCGGAGGTCCTGAGGTACACACGGAATGTCTCTCATGTTTGGTCCCCAGCTGTCACTCTCTGCACTCTCTCCTCTCTGCCTCTCGCTACACCGGCCCCTCCCGCCTGCACACCCTGTCCTCGTCCTCATCCTCATCCTCATCCTCGCATGCAGCCCCGGCCCCTCCCCTCCCTCCCCTACCTGTTCCTGCCCCAGGGCTCCTCCTCTCAGGGTGGCCGCATGGCCGACGGCTGGCGCTGGTGCTCGGGAGGGCGTGTGTGCGGTTGCTGCTTGTCGCGAGCCCCGTCCTCCTCCCCCACACCTGGGCAGGGCGTGGGCGCAGCATGGGTGCCTGAGCGGGCTGGGGCTGAGCGCAGGGCAGGTGCGAGGCTGGGGGCCGTGCTCGGGGCTCCGTGACCCACTCGGCTTGTGCTCTTCCGACCTTGGCTCCGGGAGAGGGGCATGGAGGGGACAGTGCCCTCTGCCCACACGTCCTGGCACACGCGTGTGCGGGTACCTCCCTGCCCCCATCTGGGCGGTGGCCAGAGCTGGTTCCCCCCGGCCGGCCCAGCATGGCGCCCCGCAGCCAGGGCAGGTCCCAGGACCAGGTGGGCCTGAGCCCCGACGAGCAGGGGCCTTGGTGACCCGAGAGCGTCTCCAGCTGCCCCGGCAGGCTCTCAGCTCCTCGCGTCTGGCCGGGGGGTTGCCGCTCTGGTTTTGCCACCATGAGGCGTTGGCCGGCCTGCCAGGCCCTCGTCGAAGGGAGGGTGTCCCTTTGACACTGTCCCACCACAGTCTGGGGCTTCTTCCCCAGCCACGTGGCTAGGCCACGCCAGCGTCACACGTGGGGCGCTGGGGCAGCTTGGGGAGCTTTTTGCGTGTGTGTGCATGTGTGTGTATGTGTGTGCATATGTGTGTGCGTGTGCACGTGTGTGCGCACATGTGTATGTGTGTGCGTGTGCGTGTGTGTGTGTGTGTGTGTGTGCATGTGTGTGTGAGAGACAGAGGGAGACACCTGGCTGGCAGCTGGGTGTGTCGGCCACTGTCCCTGGGGTGTGCCTGGCGTGGTCCGTGGAGGCCGAGCGAGACGCCGCGTGGGTGAGGCCTCGGCCGTTTCCGTGCGCCCTTCTCCGCCGCGTCACTGTCAGGAGCAGCTTCTCTTTGAAAAAGAACTAGGATATGTTTTCAGCCGTAATTCAGCCCTGGCTCATCCCAAAAGACCCTCACTGAGGGAAAAAGTCTGTGTTCCCAGAGCCCGCGGCTGGCTGGCGCAGCAAGCCCTCAGCCGTGTTGGGACCCGCCTCTCTCCCCGTCTCCGTGCGCCATGGGGGCGGCAGGGGCTGCTCCAGGTGCACACAGCCTCGTTCCAGGGAGGCCCCGAGCACCCTAACCCGGGCTAGGCTGGGGCCCTTCAGCCCTCTGTGAATGACACACAGCAGTCTGACCGCACCGGTCCAAAGGGGCCGTGGGTAGGGGTGTGTGCACGCGTGTGCAGGTCTCTGCGTGGGGGTACCAGCCCCAGAGGCTGTCACTAGCAGGCGGATACGCTGGGACCAGGGTGCCTAGAGGGGATGGCCTGAGCACCCCACTCCCTCGCGCTTGGGCAGCTGAGGGGAGCTGCAGGGCTCTTCCAGCTCTGGGCCTCTGCCCTGCCCGGCAGGGCCAGGTGCATTTATGTCTCAGGGTCTGGCTGGGCGGTGTCGGCGCCCAGGCCTCCTGCTCCTTCCGGCTGCGCTTAGCGCGGGGCTCGCTCCTCCAAAGCGCTCAGGACAGCGACTGACAGATGGCCGTACGGGACAAGCCCTCCCTCAACCCCCCGCCCCTTCCGCCCACGTTCCTTGATGGCCAGCCACGGTCCCCCTGGCTGACGGCACGCCCTCTCCTCTCTCCCTCTCTCCCGGGAAGGGGCGTCATCTCCCCGGTCGGAGGAGCCAAGGGTGCACGGACGGCCCCGCTGCAGTGCGTCTCCATGGCCGAGGGCCACACCAAGCCCATCCTCTGCCTGGACGCCACGGACGAGTTACTGTTCACAGGCTCCAAAGGTGCGTGGGGCCTCGAGCGCCGAGCTGAGTTAAGGCCTCCCGCCCCGTGTCCTCCTCAGAGTGGGCTGTGCAGCAGACGCGAACACCGAGCCCCGGGAGGTGCGGATGGGGTCAGCCTGCTCTGCACCTCGCCTCTCCCCTCGGCCCCAGGCGCTCCCCCGCCCCGCACCCCGGCCCCGCGGGCCTGCCCAGCGCTTCCTCCCAGACCTCCTGAGAGCTGCGGGAGGCTCCTAGGGGCCCCTCCTGGGCTCACCGCTCCCCCTCCCAGAGGTCCCTGTTCTCCTGGCCTCGCCCGGCCCTTCCCGTGATCTGGGCAGCAGGGCCCCCTGAGCCACACTGGCTCGATGGCAGCGGCAAAGCCACACATGTTACCAGCAGAGAGAACGAGCCGGGTGGACACGCAACAGAGACAGGAGCAGGCGGGCGGGAGGAGAGCTGTCAGTCTGGGTGGGATTGACCGAGTCGCCGGCCTTTCCCCGGAGACGTGCTCGCCGCCGCTGGGTCCCTCGTCCTGTCTGTGGTCGTGACGGCGTTTTTAGGAGCGGGCACCGAAGGCTTGAGAATTTTATTTTAGCCCAAGACACCTTGGCGGTGCTCGCAGAGCTCCAGCGTTTGTAGGAGGTTTGCTTGAGAAACTCTGATCTCAGCCTTTCTGATCCACGTCTGTCTCCCCTGGGTGTTTTTTACGAGCGCAGGCACACGCCTGTGAGCACACGCGTGTGTGTGTTTCTGTCCCTCACGCCGGTAGCTCCTTCCTGTAAGTCTTTCTCCGTCGCTCCCCCCGACCACGCCAGGTAGCCCGTGTCGGGGGACTGCCCGGCCCCCTGCCCAGGGGCTGACTCCACTCCCCTCCCTGCATTCCCCCCGCCCCCCGAGCAGACCGCAGCTGCAAGATGTGGAACTTGGTGACCGGGCAGGAGATCGCGGCCCTCAAGGGCCACCCCAACAACGTGGTCTCCATCAAGCACTGCAGCCACTCGGGGCTCGTGTTCTCCGTGTCCACCTCCTACATCAAAGTCTGGGACATCCGGGACTCGGCCAAGTGCGTCCGGACCCTCACGTGAGTGCCGCTCCCCTCTCCCTGCCTGCTTCCCCCGGGCGGCGGCGGGCTGGGTGGGGTGCAGATGCCTGATCGTAAAAATTCAGCCCCTGAGATGACCTTCTAGAGAGTACACCTGCTGTCGACTACTTACTTCAATAACCTTCTCTTTTTATGACTCTCTGCAAGCTAACCTTTTTTTTAAATTGCGACTCACCAATATTTCAAACTGACCTCTTCACTTCTGTACCAGGGGTCTCTGAGACAGCATGGGTCTGTCTTCATAAAAACAGTAGGGAAGGGCCGGGCATGGTGGTGGCTTGTGCCTGTAGTCCTAGCACTCTGGGATAGGCCGAGGTGGGTGGATCGTTCAAGGTCAGGAGTTCAAGCCTGAGCAAGAGCAAGACCCCGCCTCTACTAAAAATAGAAAGAAATTAATTGGCCAACTAACATATATAGAAAGAATTAGCCAGGCGTGGTGGTGCATGCCTGTTGTCCCAGCTACTCGGGAGGCTGAGGCAGGAGGATTGCTTGAGCCCAGGAGTTTGAGGTTGCTGTGAGCTAGGCTGACGCCACGGCACTCACTCTAGCCTGGGCAACAAAGCGAGACTCTGTCTCAAAAAAAATAAAAAGCCAGGAGGGTGGGCGTGACCACCTCTCTTTACAAACGAGGAGACTGAGACTGGAGAGATCAAGTGCCCTCCGTGAGGTGAGGTGCACACCTGTCTCGCGGCAGCCTGGCGGCCTCTCCAGCCAGTGCCCAGGCACACCACGGCCCGGGACTAGTCTCCCGGGTGGGGTGGGGCAGCCCTGGCCCACCTGTAGGAGAGGCCTTGCTCTCTGGTCAGTCCCTCCCTTGTCTGGAAGGCTCCCTGGGAGAAGCGGGCCGTGGCCGGGGCTGGTCTGAGTGAGGTGCTACCGGCTTCCTGGCCCGTGTGATGGACTGTTTTGACCCCTGGCCTTGCCTCTCCTCCTCGCGCAGGTCCTCGGGCCAGGTGATCTCAGGTGACGCCTGCGCCGCCGCATCCACCCGCGCCATCACCAGCGCGCAGGGGGAGCACCAGATCAACCAGATCGCGCTCAGCCCCTCGGGCACCATGCTGTACGCAGCCTCGGGCAACGCCGTGCGCGTCTGGGAGCTGAGCCGGTCAGTGAGACGCCTGGGAGGGGGGAGGGCCGGCAACTCGTTGCCTAGCGACAATTTCTGAGGGGGAGGGCCCAGCAATGCGTTGCCTAGCGACAGTTTCCGAGGGGGAGGGCCTGGCAACGCGTTGCCTAGCAACAGTTTCCGAGGGGGAGGGCCCAGCAACGTGTTGCCTAGCGACAGTTTCCGAGGTGGGAGGGCCCAGCAACAGGTTGCCCAGCACCGGTTTCCAGGTCTCAGATTGGGGTGACCACTCAGGGTGGGCGGGGCCCCGGCTGCTCCTCCTTCCCCACACTGCTGGGCTTGTGTCCCGTCCTCTGAGAGTCCCGGGATATGGGGAGCGTGCGTGCAGGTTCTTGATCCTGCCTGGAGGTGGAGGGTGCCTTGGCCAGGCCAGGTAGTTCCAGGCAGACCCCCGCCCCAACCCCGGCCTAGGTCCTGTCTAACCCTGCCCCCCACCCCGGCTGGGCCTCTCCCCCCCCCGCAGGTTCCAGCCCATCGGCAAACTGACCGGCCACATCGGCCCCGTGATGTGCCTGACGGTCACCCAGACTGCCAGCCAGCACGACCTCGTGGTGACCGGCTCCAAGGACCACTACGTCAAGGTACCCGAGGCCGGGCACGCTCCTAGTGTTTCTTCCGCCCTCCCCGTCTCTGGCCTCTGTCGCACTGAGGTTGCTCAGAAAGGCTAACGAGATTTCTGGGGATCTGGGGGCGTGCGCGGAAGACATCCCCCCAGAGACAGCAAGAAACCATGTGCAGAAAGAAAGTTGCAGATTGCGGGCTCACTGTGTAAACGGTGAAAAGTCAGAAATAAACTGAGTGTTTAAGGGTAGAAGAGCAGTCAAGCGAATTATGGAAAATGCACTAAACGGTTCACATCCCAACTGTTAAAATGACAAGTAGGGAAACAGAAAGTATACAGACAGCACTAACTGTGTGCTCCCCGATGATGCCATCGGAAACTGTATGTTTCTGGCCAGACACTGGAGGGAAGCAGGGAAGTTGGGGTGGGGTGGGATTACGGTGGATGTTCTTATTTAAAGACAAGTAACGTCACATTTAATTTATTAAAATACAAAAGGACTATAAACCTTTCTCCTTAGCAGCTGCCTGTTTAGCTGCGGGGTCTCGAGTGATCGGCCGAATCGCCCCTGCATTAGCTTAAGTCAGGCTCCCGCCCCCCAGCCTCACTTGCCATGGGAGCCGTGAGGCCCTGAGCCCCCGGAGTCCCCAGTGCCCTGGAAAAAGCAGCCCCTCGTCCACGCGCCCTCACCTGCAGGGCCAGACCCTGGGCCTTGGGGCCCCTGGGGACAGCAGTGCCTCGGGCCCGGCCTGCCCCGCCCCTGCGCTGAGCTCTCCCTGCCGCTCCTCTGCAGATGTTCGAGCTGGGCGACTGCGTGACGGGCACCATCGGCCCCACGCACAACTTCGAGCCGCCGCACTACGACGGCATCGAGTGTCTCTCCATCCAGGGGGACATCCTGTTCAGTGGCTCCCGGGATAACGGCATCAAGAAGTGGGACCTGGACCGGCAGGAGCTCATCCAGGTGCGCACAGGGGAAGGGAGGGGTGGACCCGAGCTGAGCTGGCTCCGGAGCTCCTGAGGCTGTTCTCCAGCCTCTAACCCTCTGCCTCCACCGCTGCCCTCCCTCCCTGCAGCCTCTCCTGAGGCCACCGTCTCCCCCTGGTGCCACCTGCTCTCAGCGATGGCTTTGCTCTCGGCCCCTGGCTTCCCACGTGAAGCTCAGCCGCCAAATTCCCTCTCCCGGCAGCGATGACATTTTGGCCTGACTGTTTGAGGGCGGAAGGGCTCTCCACCAGTGCAGGGTCTTAGGCTTGACCCTCGTGGGGGTTTGGGGGCAGAAGGGACCCATCCCTGGTCCCCCGAAACCCCCAGCACAGGCCACCCCAGCCGGGCTTCTGGGGCCAGTGATGCCAGCCCAAGTGGCAGCAGCCGTCTGCCACCAGCAAGAGGGGCCCCCGGGGCGGGTCCTCTCCCTCCTTGCCGCCTGCCCCGGCCCTCACCGCCCGGTCCCCCCACAGCAAATCCCCAACGCGCACAAGGACTGGGTGTGCGCCCTGGCCTTCGTCCCCGGCCGCCCCATGCTGCTGAGTGCCTGCCGTGCGGGCGTCATCAAGGTCTGGAACGTGGACAACTTCACGCCCATCGGCGAGATCAAGGGCCACGACAGCCCCATCAATGCCATCTGCACCAACGCCAAGCACATCTTCACAGCCTCCAGGTGGGTGCCGGGCGGGAGCCTGCCTCTGCCCCCGCCCCTCTCCCGGCACGGGCAGGGGTGCCGGGCGGCTCCGGGTCACAGCGCAGACCCTGCAGTGGCCTCTTTTCCCTGCCCCGCCCGGGCCAGGACTTGCCACTTGTCTCCGGGCCTCTCCTCCCCTGCCACGGCAGCCCCCCCGGCTGTCCTTCCCGCCCAGGGACCTCCCAGACCGCAGGGCGGCCCTGCCAGCCCCGCAGCACACCTCCCTCCGGCCCCAGCTCCCGTCCCCCACACAGGGAGCACCCAGGCCCCCCGTCCCATCCGGTGCGACTCAGACGGCTTTCTTCTTTTCCCTTCTTGTTCCGACCTTGTCCCCCGTCCCTGTCCCCGTCCCGTCTCCTCCTGCCTCTCCCCCCTGCCCCCCGCTCTCTCCCCCCACAGTGACTGCCGCGTAAAGCTGTGGAGTTACGTCCCTGGACTCACCCCCTGCCTTCCTCGCCGCGTCCTGGCCATAAAGGGCCGTGCCACCACCCTGCCCTGACGCCCCTCCCCGCCCCCCTCGCTCTCCCCTCTTTCCTGTCTCCTCTCTTTCCTCACTTCGATCTGAGCTGCTTCTCGACGGTATGAGATTATTTTACTCCTCCTCCCTACCGTCCCTGCACATGCCTGGCCCAGAGCGCGCCCCGCCTGCCCTCCTGCTCCCCTCCCCACCGAGCATGGCAGCGGGGCAGCCGGGCGAGGGTGCCGGGGGGCAGGGGGCCGCCTGCAGGCCTGGGCCGAGCAGAGCACAAGGCACAGCCTGGGACGAGGACCCGCGGGGCCTGGGAGACTGCAGCCCCGTCCCCCTGGCAGTGCCCCAACCTGCAACCCGCTGAGCCATGCCCGCCTCTTGGCGCCCCCCACATCTGCCCCACATGTGACCCGCCCTTCACTCCCGGGGGCAGCCAGCGGGCGCTCTGGGAGCTGACGAGCCCTCTCTGTCCCCACCCCAGCGACCTGACGGTGAAGTTCTGGAGCGTGCGGCGCCCTCCCCACGGCGGCCCACCCTAGGAGCGAGGTCGCAGGGACGCCCGGACCCTCGACCCCGGCAGCCTGGACCGCACGGAAGGGCAGCTGGGGCCCGGCCTGGCGGGGCGCTGCCTTGGGGACAGGGGCGCGGGCCGTGGCTGCGGCCCCCTCTTCTGTTCCCCCACCTCCCCGGGGGTGCTGTTTCCCCAGTCCCTCCCCTGCTTCTGGAAGCCTCTGGGGGAGGGGGGCTGGGGAGGAAATTAAGCTGTGAAGCCAAAGGGCATTATCCCCTCTGTGCCTCTCCCTGCGTCCCAGACTCCCGCCCGTCACCCAGCACCAGTCACATGTCCCCTGCTGAGCCGGCCCTGCCCTCCGTCCTGGCCTTTGGCCCAGCGGGAGGCCCTGGGGGAGGTGAGGCAGCCCAGCCCCCATCGTGCCCTCCGGAGCTGGCCTCCCCCCACGCCCCCAGCCACCCTCTGGAGCCACTGCACCTGCCTATGAGCCCAAAAAGCCAGTCCTCAGGTAACCATGGAGATCAGGTGTAGGCAGCTGGGCCTCGCAGCTGCCCCCCGGCCCTGTGGCCACAGTGAGTCCCAGGTGGCCCCAGCGATTTCCTGGGGTCCCTTTCTGATGGGCCCAGGGGGAGCTGCCAGAAAGATTCCTTCGGGGAGATGCTCAGAAATACTTCAGTTATTTATTGGCTTTTTATTTTGTTTTATTTTGGGTTTTTTTGCTGTTGCCTCCTGGAAACTGACTTGAAGTTTCTTCCCACATGTTCTCTCCCTCAGCTCTTGGGGACCAGGGACCCCAAAGGGAGTCCGCTGCCCCGGCCTCCAGTGCCGCCGCCTCTGCTTGCTCTGCAGAGGAGGGCCAGGCCCCTCGGCTCCCTGCAGCTCGCGCCTGTCCCCGACACCGCCCGGGGACCCTGCTAGCGCACCCCTGGCCTCCAGGCCGCCTGGCGCTTCAGTGCCTTCCTCCATCCTGGGCCTGGCGCCAGCCTCGCCCGCGGCACCGCTCGTGTCTTCTCGCTCCCGGGGCCCCGGGCCGGGGCGCCCGCTCCCCAGAGCCCTGTGTGGGCCACGCAGGAGGCAGCTTGGCGGACTGTGTCCACCGGGAAGTGGCTTGGGCGGGGGGACCGCCCAGCACCCTGTACCCCCGCAGTCCACCTGTGTTTCCACCCCCACCAGGACAGGAAGCGTCCTCCGCTTCTTTACTGGGGACAGAACCCTCCGGTTATTCAGGAGATGCATTTTCAGCCTTAAAACCGGCGCGGGGCCCCGGGCGCTCCCTGGTAGGAAGGAGGCTCTTCATCAAGTTTCTCTCCTCCGGGGCTGAGACTCAGCTCTGGGCAGGTGGCTAAGTCGGTGTTGGGGCGCCCCCTGTTGGGGCGACTCCGCATCTGCAGGAGTGGGCGTGGGGGGGCGGCCTGGCCACAGGCTTCTCTGTTGCACCCCTGGTCTCCTGTGTCCCGGCCGGGAACCCCAGCTCCGCTCAGAGGACGCAGTGACTTTTGGACTTTCTGGAGGTGGCTCTGTTTCTGCCCTTAGTGCAGGGCAGCTGGAGCCTGCTCCCTGGGGCCCCTGGTGTGGGCGGGGCCAGGCCCCAGTGGGCGGGGTCAGGCCCCAGTGGGCGGGGCCTGTCCTCCTTTCCCCCCACACACCCTCCTCGGAGCCGGAGCCGCCCCGAGGCCTAGGTCAGGACACGCCCTCGGCGCTGGTCTCCTGGAACCTGACAGTCTCTCGGTGACTGGAAGCCCTTCTTCCTTGGCCACCCCGGGGTGCTGGGCCACCCGAGTAGCACTCAGGAGTGACCACAGTCTACTCACTCCTCTTCCGTCCCTTCCTACCTGAACGGAAACTTTCGACCTTGCAGCCTGCAAGAAAGGATCTGTCCGCACGTCGGCCTGGGCCCTGCTCCCCCCAGGGCCTGGGACGCCCGCCGGGCGACTGTACCTTGGCTGCAAGGCCTGGTCTTGCAGGAGGTGGGAGCCGCGACCCCCGCAAGGTGCTCACCGGCGTTGCCCATTCTCTGCTGTTTCCAGTGGGTCAGCTACCTCACGGCGGGCCGGCTCTGCTGTCCGGCGAGTGCCATCGACTCTAAACTTGAAGTCCTTCGGGAACCCTGAGCCCGTCACCCCTGAGCCACCCCGGTAGTGCTCCACGGACGGACGTTGGAGTCTCGGCCCACTGACTGTTTCAGGGACGTCCAGGGTACGCAGTTAGGGGCAGGCCCCCAGCTCCTCCCGCTGCACAAGCATCCTCGGTGTGGGAAGCACAAAGTGGTTGTGATTCGAGCACAATGGCCGGGCTCCTGCAGGCCGTCTTGGCAGACCTGGGCCCAGGAAGGTCCTCCCAAGAGACCCTGTGTCCAAAGTTAGGTTAGGGTCGCCCGTGTTGGGGGAGGGGCTGCCCTTGCTCAGACCAGGGCTTGGCTCAGGGCTTGTCCTCAATCTGGGACTTGTTACTTCTGACCCCTCTGTGCGCGCCCTGAGACTGGAGGCTGAGAAGTGGCAGCAAAGCCACGTCTGAGTGTCATGAGCCCAGGGGCAGAGCCCTCTCTAGACCCCGCACCCCGAATCTATAAACGCCTGAGCTCAGGCTGCACCCCAGCCCTGTTGAGCCTGCAGCGCCTGGACTCAGCTCCCCTGTCTCCCGGGCTGAGCCCCACTGGTGCTTTGGAAACGGATCGGCGAGTCCCCAATGGAAGGCATCTCCCCTCTCCACTGCGCTTGCACCTTCTCAGCACGGGACCCCGCTGTCAGTATTAACCAGTTCCGTGTTTGCTTGTGTGTGACTGACTCCTCCGCGGCGGCCGGCATTGTGGAAGGCGGCACCTGGCGTTGCCGTGCAGGTTGCCAAGGAAGGAGGACAGGCTGTGGGGTGGAGGCGGGCGCACCCAAGCCTTCGAGGTGGTCAGGGTGCCACCTTCAGCCCCCCCCCCGGGAAGGGGCCCCACCCAACTCCAGCCTAGGAAACCCCCCACCCTCGGCCGCCCAGCCCTTCTGCCTGCCTAGGGCCGTGTGGCTCGGGCAGACAGAAGTTTAAAGCACAAAACCACCGTGGGGCGGACGCCAGGTCACTGGGATATGGCGAAGACGCAGGTGGGCAGGTGGCTACTGTGATGTCAGAGAACATGATGCTTTTTGCTCTGCTCTCTCCCAGCTCTTGGGGGACATCCCTGAAGCCATCTGGGCTGGGAGCAGGCACACTCCCTCGGAGGCTTAGCCCGCCCAGCCCTGCCTGTGCCCGGCTGCGTTTGTGTGGGCAGAGCCTGCCCGGCAGGAGCGGCAAGCTCCTTCCTGCTGTGTGGCCCGCACCTGTGGTGTCTGTCCCTTTGCCATCCCAAACAGGGACTGCTGCTGCTCTGTTTGCCTGGCACGGCTTCCTGGCCGATGGCCACTGCCCCCGACAGGCCTCCCTGGGCCTGGCCCTCCTCCCCTGGCCCCCAGATCCCTCCCTGCCCCCTGTGTGCAAGGGCAGAATCTAAAAGGAAAGTTCTGTTTCTTCTTCGGCATCTTTGTTACGACCCCCACCCCCTGCCGGTCCCCAGCACCCCGATGGCCCCACCGCCTCCACCACACCCTCGGTTAGTCCTTTGAACCCCTGTCCTGAGGGCCTTGCAGGGAAGTAGGAAGTAGAGACTGCGCCACAAACAGCTGAGGGTCAGAGAAGACCCTGCCGTGCACGGGGCCGCCCCGCCCACCAGCTCTTTTCTAGCGATCCCCTGCCCCTGCGATCCTGGAACCCTGCGACCACAGGGTTCCCTTGGCTCGTGCTGTCCTCGGCGCCGTGGTAGCACCAGGTGTAAATATGTTTTGTACCTCTGTGGCAGCTGTACATATGTATGAAAGTTATTTAAGCCTCACGCTGTACATTTCTGTTCCTAGGTCGGGTGTGTGTGTTCTAAAAAGTTGTCATAAATAAAACCCGAATGACCATTGTCTGTGGAGCTGTGGCCGCTGGGGACCCTTCTTTGGGGGGCAGTTTGGCGGAGGTGGGTCTGTGGGGGAGGCCCCTGGGGCTGGGCCCGGCCCCATGAGAGCTCGTGAGTCTGGGGCTCAGCCGGTTAGGAAGCAGAGCCCTGGGCGTGGCGCATTCTCCTCCAGACTCCGTGCTTTGCCTCCCGGGGTGGGCGGAGTGGTTGAAGAGTGGGCACTGGCATTGTCTGAGCACCTGCTGTATATTCCAGGCTCCGTTGGGGGCGTTTTTTTCACTGGATCTCCACTACCCTGCGTGACAGGTGATAGTCTAATTGTATGAAATGAGAGCAGTCTCGGGATGGGAGAGGCTCATCCAGGATCACAGCTAGTAAGGACGGAGCCGGGATTTGGACCCAGACCTGCCCGGCCGAAGCTCCCATCCACTGCCTTCCACTAACGTATTACGCACCTGCCTAGGGCCCGGAATATGCCACCTGCCAGACACCTTTCCATCCCTTGCCACTCACGGAGAGGAGACATGTAGAGTTCACACAAGAAAACAGCAACAGCCACGGCTACGGTGGTTGTGACTTTTGTCTACATCAGTGCTGTTCAGTCTCTGGAAACCCAGATTCCCTTCTGACAACCAGAAACCCGGTCAGCCCCCGGGGGATTCTGGCCACGCCCTGGGGGAGAATCCGCAAGATGCTTTCGGAAGTTTACTTTCTGGTTTTTGCATCAGGAAGACAATAGGGTCTCTCTTTGCTTTGTTCCCCAAATATAAAACTAAGTTGATTCCTCAGCTTGCCCAGGTCCCTGCTGCTGTGCAGACCTGCAGTCCCGGGAGTTCCCCGAGTCTGGGTGGGGTGCAGGGCACCTCGGGAGGGAGGGGGACGGCTCCCCGAGGGGGGTTTCCTCCCGGGAGGCTTCAGGTCCTCAAACAGAAGGGCCTTGGGGAGCCAGAGGGGGACCCTGAGCCACGAGAGAGACAGCGGGCAGAGCTGCCCACCTGCCAGCCACCGTGGCGGGCACAGAGCCTCCTGCCTTGGGAAGCGGGGCGGCTCCCCAGGATGGTGGTTTCTGGCTGGCTGACCCGGCCCCGCCCCGGGCCACTCTCCCCACCAACCCTCACTCCCACAGGCCTGCATTTTAGTTAGGGCCCCCACCGAGGTGAGCTGCAGGAGGTGACAATCGGGCATGGCCAGCTGCAGGACAGGTGCTGGGGACCTTGTCAGCGCTGACCCTGGAGGGGACTCCAGCCCCTCCCCCCCTTCCTCGTGGTCGCGCCCCTCCCCCGCCCTGCAGAGGGTGCAGCAAAGGGCAGGTCACCTGCGGCTTGGCACCAAGGCACTGGGGGGTGGGCGCGTACACTGGGGTAAGAGACTCTTGTTTTTTACTCTTTTAATGTGGGGTGTTGTCCTTTCCCACATTCTGAGCAGAACAGCTGCTTGCTTTAGAAAATTTAGAAAACAAGAGCCGTCAAGAAAATTCCCATTTGGGATACAAGCTTTTGGGCCGACTTCCAAGATTGGAGGAAATGGCACTTCTCAGAACTTGATAGGAGCCATTCCTTGTCAGAGCTGGGTGGCATCTTAAAAGGTCATTTTCCCCCAACCCTCTCGATTTACAAATGAAGGGGATTGAGGCCCAGGGAGGCCTACAGAGTTGGCCAAGATCACACTGGGACAAAGATGGCCCTGGAAGCCATCACTTCCCATGTGCTTGTCTCCGTGGCTGGACCAAGGTGACGGGGTGATTTGAAGGGGTGTCAGAGTAGTCTTTGAAGTGTGCTATCCCAACGCACCTGACCTGTTCCTGGGTTTTTAATAAGATCCACCTTTTATCATCGCTCGTAGCAAAGCGAGATCGCCCTTTGGGGTGCCAGGAAGGAGATGTGAGCGTGCCGCTGAGTCTCGTGACATTTCCCAGGCACCCCATCTATAAAAGGGTCAGCCGATCAGGCCCCTAGTGACAGCTGGTGGCAGCTGATGTGGGAGCCAGAGAACAGGCCGAGGGGAGAGCGGGTGAGGAGAGCTTTCCGGCCGACACAGAGATTAGTGCAGCCTTTCATGCCACTTTTGAAGTTGCTTGCGAGCGTGACCAGGGGAGTCCAGCTGCCGGGCCCAGGCTGCCATAACCCTGTGAGCAGGAGGCACATGGGGTGCAGAGCACAAGCAGGGAGCTCTGTGCGCGTGCCCCCAAGGGCTTGGGTGCAGGTGGCAGAGGCCGGCACTGCCGGGCAAGAGCCCGTGCGAGACACGCGTCTGCCTCTCTGTGGCCAAGCTCCATCCAAGTCACTGCATGTTTGCCCGCCCGTGTGGAAGCCTACTTTTTAGGGTATCGGGTTATTGTCCTACAAGCTTTGCCTAGGGCCTGGCTGATGGAAGGCCGGGGCTGGGTGGTGACACCCTGGCTGGGGGCTCAGGGAGTCGGGGGTTGTGGGAGCAGCAAATGACCCTGCAGAGACCCGCCCCATGGCTCCAGGAGCTCTCTGGCAGGCGGGCCTGGCGAGACCCCTTCCCGCAGGAGCAGCTGCAGGCGGTCGGTGCTGACCCAGCTCACTCTCAGCATCCAGGAGGAAACCTCTGGCTCTTCAGAGGAACAGAGGCCAAACTCCCAGTATTGAGGCCTGAGCGTGGTCACCTGGGCTGTGGTTTGGGCTGCACCGAGAGCAGCCGTGCTCGTGAACATGCGGGACCCACCGGTTAAGCTTCCGGGATAGCGTGTGAGCCCAGCAACAACCCTTTCGTCAATCGCTTTCCTGTCCACACCAGCCGGGGCAGGCGCTGTTGCTCACCAGCAAGAACACTGCCCAGGCCGGGCGCGGTGGCTCACGCCTGTAATCCTAGCACTCTGGGAGGCCGAGGCGGGAGGATGGCTCGAGGTCAGGAGTTCGAAACCACCCTGAGCAAGGGCGAGACCCCGTCTCTACTAAAAATAGAAATTAATTGGTCAAGTAAAAAAATACATAGAAAAAATTAGCCGGGCATGGTAGCGGGTGCCTGCAGTCCCAGCTTCTCAGGAGGCTGAAGCAGGAGGATTGCTTGAGCCCAGGAGTGTGAGGTTGCTGTGAGCTAGGCTGACACCACAGCACTCTAGCCCAGGCAACAGAGTGAGACTCTGTCTCAAAAAAAAAATACTGCCCAGTGCAACTGGATTCTAGAATACCTAGAATTCAAATTGGTTCAAAAGAAACTGCTTGCCCTGGCCTCAGGTCACCTGGCCGAATGACAAGGGCACAGAGGAGCAGGGCAGGGAGAGGCCAGCCTGGCCCAGAGGTTTGTTGCAGGGAAGGCGGCTCACAGCAAATGAGCTACCCCGTGCAGCCAAGAAGTGGCTCTCCTGGAAAGGTGACGTAGCAGCTACTTCCCCAAACGTGCACGTTGGCCGGGCGCGGTGGCTCACGCCTATCATCCTAGGACTTTGTGGGGCCAAGGTGGGAGGATCACTTGAGGCCAGGAGTTCGAGACCAGCCTGAGCAACAGAGTGAGACCCCGCTTCTACAAAAAATTAAAAAAGTAGCCGGGCATGGTGGTGCACACCTGTAGTGCCAGCTACTCGGGAGGCTGAGGCTGCAGAATCACTTGAGCCCAGGAGTTGGAGGTTGCTGTGAGCTATGATGACACCACTGCACTCTAGCTAGGGCAACAAAGAGACTCTAAAAAAAAAAAAAAAAGTGCACGCTTTCTCCTTTTATTGTAAAGGCTCTGCCGGAGCACGCCTGCATTCCTCCGCTTCTAGCACAGGGCTCAGGCCCTGCCGCCCCAGTCTCAGGCCAGGTCTACACCCGGGACCCAAGGATGCAGGCTCAGAAGCGGCTCCTTGAGGACTTCCTGCTGCAGAGGCAGGAGGTGGGAGGGGTGGCCCGCAGCACCTTCTTCTTGGCTTCCAGGACGTAGAAGGTCTGGGTGGTGAGGCAGCTGACCATGGGGTCGGGGTCTCTCTGCATGTACCTGAGGGCTGGAAACAGGCTGCTGCAGTGCCCGGGACAGAGACGGCCACCGGGCGGGGCGGGCAAGGGCCCTGCCACGGGGAAGGCGCAGGGCAGCGGGACATGGACGGGCAGGTCTGAGAGATCCGACAGCGGTTTCTTCCCGCAGTCCACGCTGCTCAGCTTCAAGCAAGCCCACGACCTGCCAGGCTGCGCCTCCCCCCGCCCGGTACCAACACTCGCACCTCCCTAGCTCTGCCCCCCTCTGCGCCGTGGAACAGCCGAGTGTGGGCCGAGTTCCCGGAGAGCTTCGGCCGGGGGTTCAGCCACACGCGGGGCCCGGCCGCACCTGTCCTAGCGGGAGGTCTCGGGCCCGTCCTGGCTGGTGGACGGCGGTGTGGGTGACAGTGGACGTGGGCAGGAGGGCTCTGACCAGCACCAAGCCTAAGTGCTCCGGCACGAGCCCACCTCTCCACTCCTTCTGGGTAACTTCCGAGAGCCCACCCACCCACCTTTCCTCATTCCGAGCCTTCCGCAGCGACGCCAGCACCCCCAAAAGATGCCGGGAGTCGCGGCCGGTTGCCGCTCACCTGCATACGCATCCTCGATTTCCTCCATCTCTTCCATGTTTAGGGTTTGGATGATCTGGCCTGCGCGGGCACACAGAGGCGGCAGTGGGGCCCCGGCTGTGAGCTCTCGTGCCCGTCCCCAAACACTCACCGTTCCCTCCCTTTTTCTGTTGTCTTTCCCTCCCGCGGCCACCAGCCTCAGGTCTGGACTTTTCCCAGAAAGCTAAAACTGCGTCCACTCCTTCTCTAAAGGGCTCTAAGCCAATTGGGCTGGGTGGAGGAGGGGACACTCTTCCCTGGGGTGACACGAGCCAGGCCCCAGCTGTCTCTGAGCTTCCCCTACAGAGCAGCTCTCATGCCCCCGACCCCCCTGCCCCCACTTCCGGAGCCCTGCCGGCCTGGCCTCCCGGGCCTCAGCCCGTCCTGCTGGAGGAAGGTCACCCCGGCCCAGCCAGGAGCTCCCCGCATCCCTCTGGGATGGAACGTCCTCACGCCCAGCCCCCGTCTGTTTGGAGGACCCTACAGTAAGGACACGGTGGCGCCGAGAAGACAGGGCCGTACCTGCAAACCACACGGCGGCCTGGCGGATGGGGGTCTGCGGGTTCTTGAAGAGAGCCACAGTCTGCCTCAGGAACCAGAGGGCTTTGCTCGCCTCCTGCTCCAGCTGTGGGGAGAGGGGGGTGGCAGATCCCGCACGGGGCCCACGGCCAGTGCCCCCGCCCTCCCTTGCAGACAGTCTTCAGGCTAAATTGCAGTCCTCCCCGGAGTGCAAAATCCCGCCAAAACATTCTACGTCTGCATCCTCCTGGCCCAGCGCCTGGAATCGTACTTCTTCCGTGAAGCCTTCCTGGACTGAGCAAGCCACAGGGATCACTTTCCCTGGCCTTGACCCACTTGGACCGTGACACTCACAGAGAGAGAGATCGACCCCAATGTCTGGCCCACACATTTCTCTCTCCTACTCCCAACAGTAGGGGAATGGACTCCATTGTTTACGTATTGTTTATTTGCACCGTGGCTTGGACTCTTCAACCTCACGGTCGTGTGCTTTACACTGCAAAAGATGCAGTCATGTCTACACCATTCTGCCCGAACAGGGCCCAGCGGTGCTGCGTGTAACGAGCTGTCCTCACGCCGTCCTTCCCCGGCCTAGGGATGTGTCCTCCCCTGCTCCCATCCACACCTCTTTCTTTGAAGGCTCAGGGGGTACCGTGTTCTTCCTGTGCCACCACCACCAACCCTGCCCCGCCTCCTGCGTTTCCTGCCGGATTCTCTCTCCCCTCTCCCACTCTGCAGTCTCAGTTCTGCAGGCTGCATCCACGCCTTTCTCCAGCTTCCTTCGGCAGCAGGATCTTTTCTTCAAATAAAAATTGCTCAGGCCGGGCGCGGTGGCTCACGCCTGTAATCCTAGCACTCTGGGAGGCAGAGGCGGGAGGATCGCTTGAGCTCAGGAGTTCAAGACCAGCCTGAGCAAGAGCGAGACCCCGTCTCTACTATAAATAGAAAGAAACAAATTGACCAACTAAAATTATATATAGAAAAAATGAGCCGGGCATGGTGGCGCATGCCTGTAGTCCCAGCTACTCGGGAGGCCGAGGCAGGAGGATCTCTTGAGCCCAGGAGTGTGAGGTTGCTGTGAGCCAGGCTGACACCGTGGCACTCACTCTAGCCTGGGCAACAGAGCGAGACTCTGTCTCAAAAAAAAAAATAAAAATCGTAACTGGAACCCCATATCCCAGAGCAATGGAAGAGGAGGCTGTTCCGGCCCCAGGGGGTGGCGAGGCTGAGCCCAGCCCACCTGCTGGCCCCCAGCTGCGAGGGTCCCGGGAGGCCCGTGGGGTCCTGCGCCCCAGTCTCCCGGGCGCTGCCTAGACCTGTGCCGCAGCCATGCGCTGAGCCCTGCGTGCGTCCGAAGCCGTCCATCCTTCCTCGGCGACCATGACCCTCCTTCCTTCTCATTCTCCTCATTGCCTTTTCTCCTGATGTCCCTTCCTAGTCCCCCGTGCGGGCTCCTTGGAGCCGGAGTCGCCCCCTAAGCGAGTCCCGCCGTCCACTTTGCTCAGGGAGCACATCTGGGCCGGGCTGCGGCTTCCAAGCACGCCCAGTGGCACGCTTGGCGTTCGCAGGCCCCCGTCTCCAGCACGGCGCGTCCCAGACCGCCGCGCTGCACGGCTCACTTCCAGCGGGCAGGATGCTCTCGGAGCCCCACCGGCTCCACGAACTCCACGTGCACAAAATCGAGCCGCCGCCGTCCTGCGTCCTCACCCACGGCTCCCTCCTGACCCCGGACACCCAGGAGCCGGCCTTTGCCGTCCCTGCCTCTGTCCCCGCGACTTTGTCGCCTCCCCCCGACCCCTCCAGCAAGGCTCCAGTTGCTCTGCCGTCATGAACTCCCCTCTGGGTTGCAGACTCCTAAGATGCACAGCTACGCACCGCTTTGAAGCCCGGCAGAGGCTCCGGCTGCCCACGGCGCCTCCCTGTGCCGGGCCCCCAGGGCTCCGTGTGGCCCGGCCCCCGCCCCCTGCTCTGCTCTCCTGCCAAGACGGCGGGCTGGCCGCCCAGGAGCCCACACAGCCTGCAGAGCGCGTTTTGTTTGATCCGAAAGATGTCTTACGTTATAAATTATCTGCCAGCACACACGTGGGAACTGTCACCTAGAGTCAGGATTTCCTGCTTCTCCTAACAACTTGGCAGAGCCAGCCGCCCCGAGCCCTCTTTCCCTGGCAGAACCAGTGGGCTGGATCCCGGCTGGGGAGGGAACCGCGAAGCACATCCCTCCCTTCGGGGCCGCCAGAGCGCCCTGAGATGGCGCGGCTGAGCCCGGCTCCCTGGTGCAGACAGGCGGCCAGCGGAGGGCGGGATGCTCAGTGAGTGTCCCGCTGTTGAGCTGTCGCTGCAAGCCCAGGGCTGCGGGAAAGGGCCCGGCTGCGGGAAAGGGCGCCGACTCCCCTGCCCGGGGCGGAGGGGCAGGCGAGCTGGGGCTCACCAGGGCTCCGAGGATGCTCCACACGTCTTTCTCCGCGAACACGACTCTGAGCTTGGACCAGCCCAGCAGGGCGGCTATCTGCAGCAGGGCCCTCCGGCAGATCTGGGGGGCAAGGAGGCTGCGTGTGAGGGGCGCGGGCGGGCAGGGGCCTGCAGGGACGTTGGGGGCCCCGAGGATGGGAGTCAAGAGGCGGG